AAAATACAAACCATGAATACTTGTTCATTACAAAATATTGGTAGAGTAATTCTTGTTCATTACAAACCAACAAAAACATCAAAAGAGTACTTCTTTTCCATTACAAAATAACAAAACAAGATTACCACATAATCAATTACCTATCATCTACTCGTCTCCTACGATTGTATGTTCGAAGTGGAATAAAACTAGGTCCAGCCTCATCAATTTGTTGACCCTGAAGAACACGTGACATCCTCTCAATGGCCTCATATAACCTATCTGGCTCACGAACACTAGTATCACGGCCCGCCTCAATGATAGGATGGGCAATCTGTAGTGCGTGATCAATACGCTGCATTAAGAACAAATACAATTGTAATTAACATGTGCCATCTTCAAAAAAAAAAAAATGTAAACGATGTGTGAGCAATATTGTCATACCTCAGCATCCTGCATGTCAGATCGATTATCCTGTGCACGTGGGTCAAAACCAGACCAATGTGTGGGGTTCTGGATATATAAGTGTGTGATGGTTGTATACCACTGCATGTAACCATCAACACAATCAGCTGGATGTCTAACTGGGGTACTCCTCCTCCGAGCAGATAAAACATGATTATGCCAACTCTTCCATATCTGATCAAGATACTGATACATCAATCTATATCGCCCTGCTGTCATACCTCTGACATCACGAACAGGGTCGAGTGGCGCAGGTGGGATGGTCTGAACCCTACCAAACTGTCTAAGAACCCTTTCAGGATGATAGGGTTCAACTATATCCAAACACTTCAAACAGCCAGTATAGAATGTGATCTCATGACATGGGTGATGTTGACAACAATGTCGATATGGATCCCAAGTAACCTAAGAGAGAAGCACAAATGAAATCTTGATGAGTGACATGTAATGAGAAAACTTAATTAAACTAATATTAATTGGTATACCTCATCAAATGTCAATCTGTCAAGCTCCTCTCATAACGCCTGTAGGTGTTTTTCGTTGAGCCAGCTTCCCAATGAGGAGTCCATCGATGCACGTAAGGCAATTGTACAGTATATTCCATGTTTTGGTGAGGTCTAAATGGCCGAAAATGCTCATAAATCCATGCCTCTAACAATGTCATGTAACCAGCCATTTGTCGAACAGCTGATCTCGTGGCAAATCCCAACTGTCGGTATAAATATGCCAATGCAGCTACACCCCAAGCATATGTATGAATATCAGACAAATCCATCAACAACTGCAAGTACACAACAGGAACTCTCGTCCCACTTTTATCACTGAACAGTGTACATCCCAATAGAAATAGCAAATATGCTCTGGCGGCACAAGCTATGGATTCCTCGGTGTCTGAATCTTTGCAACCACTGAATTTGCTTCGTAACCACTCCAGCTTCACTGATTGTCCCCTAGCAAATGATAGCTCCTCAGTTGCTTCAGTATCTTCAACTCCCAAGGCATCTACCACAAGTGCATGTGCCTGTTGATCTGTTAAAGTTACAACACTAACTGATCTACCTATGATAGGGATCCCCAAGATGGTACACACATCATCCAATGTCATTGTCATCTCACCAACTGTCAAATGGAAAGTATTTGTCTCTGGTTGCCATCGCTCAACAAATGCAGATATGACAATCCTATTCACGAACCGATATGTGCAATGGACCAAAGAAAATAGACCTGACAGCTGCACAATGTCTCTAAACCTTCTATTGTCAGTTCTTGACCACCACTGCTACTCAAGAATCTTGGATGCATGATTATTAACACCTTAATGGATTCCTCTCCTACAAGGTAAGTAATAATTTACATATATAATTTTGTTCAATAAATAATTAAATGAAACAAACATAGATAAAAAAATATACTACCTTTTGCTCCCATATAACTGCTGCAATATGTGCCTTGAAGCTCTTCAGTACTGATGGATCTAATGGCCCCCCAAGAAACGGACCAGTGAGTATCTCCTCAGCCTGATCTACATCAGCAGCATCATCATCATCCCCTGAACCATTATCGATCACATCCTCTTCCAAGATTTGAGGTGCTTCCTCTAACACAATATCATCACCCCGACCCCGACCTTGACCTTGGCCACGACTAGTATTAGTTAATGCACGACGTCATCTCTCTGAGGTAGTGGGTGGAATACGCAAAGGGTCATCCATTTCTGAAAATGAAACAGAAAATAATAAAGTTAACAAAAGTGTGTTTTGAGACTTTTGTCAAATCACTAAAATGAACCTTTGTCATGAGGCGAGGCACATCATTTTAAATGCTGCGAGTAATATGCTAATGTCATTAAGTTCAATTGTATGCAAAAATTAGTATACAAGCAAGTGATCCAAGTTTAAGGTAATATGAACAGTCATTTCTTGGGATTATTGCAAGTATTTATTCTAGCAATGGTCATTCTGTCGGGTAGCATGAATATTATAAGTATATTATAGCATTCAAGTCAAGTGATCCACGTACCTACCAATGATCATTATGTAGGTGTTCCTTGAATGTTGTTTTGGACTATTTTTGTTAATAATTTAAATAAAAGAAATTAACTTTATTTTTTACAGGAATATATATGGAATGGAATAACAAATGGCACGAGCAAGTAATTATACATTTTTACAAGCAATCAAATTAGCCCTAGGCCATACTCACTAACTAATAGAAACCTGAAAATTTCTCGAAATCATTATAGGAGTCTTATTAAGAACAAGAAATTTGTTCATTTAATGGAAGCAAATCAAACGATGGTAAATGTTTTACAAGGCTTTTTATTAAATCTGTTCATTTAATATAAGGTTCATTCACATTATTGTCTCCCTACATTAATGTTCACAAAAAAAAAAAACTTGTTCGACAGTATCTGTCCGAACATATTATACATGTTCGGCAATCTACATCCGAACATGTTCGACAATCACCAACCGTACAAAATAATATTTTTTGAAAAACAAGTACCAAACGAATTTAGGGTCCGAAAAACTAGTGTCGAATGATTTACTCAAATACAAATTTCATGCCAATGGAGATAAGTACATAAAACCCCAAAATAAATGATAACTCACCTACTAAATCCCCAATATGAAGTTCCAACTGTGTTGAGCACCACCATCGACGACGTCTTTGATGAGTGTTTTGAGCAATGGTGTTCACTAGTTTGAATAGAGAATGGAGGGGGAGATGAATATCGTGGGTGTGGGGTGTGTGAGTGAGTGAGGGCAAAGATGGAAGTTTGTGTGTATATCGGTATGGGTGGGTGTGTGTGTAAGGGTAAATATACAAATTTGTGGTGTGTGATGAGAAAAATATTTATTTATCAAATTATTATAGGTGTATCTTTAGAAGTGGTTTGCCTTGAGATAAATTATGGTGTGTAAATAGAGGCCCTGTAAAGTGATGCGAAATAATGATTGAGGGGTGAAGTGCAATTTTTCTGTTAAACAATAGATATTAAACTAAAATTTTAGAGTAAATTACACCATTGGTCTCTCTAGTTTAAGAGAATTCTCACTTTGGTTCTTATAGTTTCAATTTGAGCAATTTAGTGCTTATATTTTGTTACAATGTGGTCACTTTCTCATGTATTATTAACATTTTGAACAAAATAAAATTAGGTGAAGAATTAAAGGAACTAAAGTGGAATTCAAAATAAATTACAAGGACTATTAGTGTAATAAATATAAGGTAAATTACAATAAACTCTCTAAAACTATAACCTATTTGCATTTTGCCCCCCCAAACTTTGAAACTCAACAGTTAACCACTTAAAAGTATTAACTTGTTACAATTAACCCTTTTTTTTTGGTTAATATTCTATTAGAAATTTATAAAAAATTAGATTATGTGAAAAGCACATAAAACATTTATTAAAATTTGAAGATAATAATACTCTTATTTGGTGATCTCGTTTGCTCTTTTTCACTAAAATAATGGAGACAATGTGCAAATGAGATCACAAAAAATGATATATATTATCCTAAAAAAGTCAATAACTATTATTGTTTTAAAAAATCAATAATTGTGTCATGCATTTCATGCATATTCTATTTAAATCTCTAACAAATCCTAACAAGAAGTGTCAAACATAACAAAATAACAATTAAAGGTGATTAACTATTGAATTTTTAAGTTCAAAGAGGAAATGAGTCATAATTTAAGATGGTTTAATATAATTTATCCATGAATATATTTGTTTTGAATTTCAACCTGGTCATTTCGAGCTTGTTTGGTTTGTTTTTTAGAAAAATTTTTGGTAAAAATTCTCTACAAACAAATTTTCAAGAGTAATCAAACCAAACAAATTTTTCCCAAAAAAATCTTAAAATTTTGTTTGGTTACTTACTTTCCAAAATCACACTCTCTCTCATACACATCAAATCAATCATTTTTTTTAAAACTCACTCCCCAAAACAATTTTCCAAAACTATTTATGAAAAAAGACAAACCAAACAAATTTTCGTACTTTTTATCTCAAAAATTACTTTACAAACACAAACCAAACACAATCTTCAATTTTATATATATATATATATTTTTTTGTTCTAAATTTTAACAGTAAGTGACGGAGGGGCCATATTACAATAAAATTAAAATTGTATAGAAAACAAAATAACAATTAAAGGTGATTAACTATTGAATTTTTAAGTTCAAAAAGGAAATGAGTCATAATTTAAGACGGCTTAATATAATTTATCCATGAATATATTTGTTTTGAATTTCACTCTGGTCATTTCAATTTTATACATATTCTTTTGTTTTCTTTTCTTTTTTTGTTCTAAATATAAAAAGTTAGTGACGGACGGATCATATTATAATAAAATTAAAATTATAAAGAACAAATGTTCAAATTAAAACTACGGTAACTAAAATAATAATTAACTTAAACTATAAGGATGTGATTTATCTAAAATTTAAAGTCAAACTGCGGGTGAAAAGTGTAATTTAACCTTATTTTGGTGCTAGGGAATGAAAATTAACTGACATGTCAGTAATATTTCAAAAATTCCCAAACGGGAGCCAATAAATCTGGTGGTGAAGAAGAAACCAGTTCTTCCTTAACGTCGCCAGGAGGGAGGGAGGGAGAGAGAGAGAGAGAGAGAGAGAGGTTTCTTTCATGTTCCCACTCAATTTTTGGCAAATTTTCATCTCAGGTTTCTTCCCCTTCTCTCTCTCTCTCTCTCTCTCTCTCTCTCTCTATATATATATATATTGTGGTTGAGTTGAATTGATCGCAGGAGGGTTGATTTGTGCTGGCGAAGAAGAAGAAGAAGAAGGGCAGGAATGGCCATGGCGTCCTCTCAGCTCCTCATTCACAATTTCTTAATCACCATCGCATTTGGCATTCTCCTATTATTTCCTATATCAATTGTGTCTGCCGATGACCCTAAATCTCCTGCCTGCAACAAGTTACAGCGATTGGTAAATTCTCAATTAATCAATCAATAATTAGATCCTCCATTTCTTTTAAATTGTTCATTGAGGTTCATTGATTTCAATTGTTCTTGTTATCTCATTTACATTTCTATGTGCCTATGTTATTACTCTATCAAACACAAATGCTTTGAGCACAATTATTTTTTGAATTTTTCTTTAATTGTACTTTAGTTCACATATCCAAACTATTATGAAATTGAGATTGTAATAAGAATGTTTAGCATTAGACTATATAATTGTTAGATAAATACATGAATAGTTTTTCAATACTTTACTTGCTTTTTAGAGAAAAATAGTGAGATTAAAGTGTACCCTACTTTTTAAAGATTTATCAAATTGACTTATCCTAAATGTGTCGTACATGTGTCTCATATTCGTATCCATACTTCATAGAAAGAAAGGATAAAGAAGAAAACATGACGATACTAAAATTAGATTCATTAGTTAAACAAGCAAGTAAAATTGCGTACAACACTTCAGCATGTAACACTTTTAATTGTGAAACGGAAAAGCACAACAACATAAACAATTTAGTATTGACATTGAAATTAAATTTTTACAAGACCTACTGAAAAACGAAAAGTAAACTAACTACTAGCTTTTTTTTTTTTTTTTTTGATTGGCAAAAAAGAAACTTTATTGATGAAGAATCAAGTACAAAGTACAAGCAAAAAACATGAATAAAGAAAAGGGAAGTGCAAAAGCATCCCAATGAGCTAAATCATCCCAACTAGGTTGGCACCAAAAACCCATCCTATCATTTGCTAACACCCTCAGAGTTGGTGAGAAACCAATAAGAAAACAGACCAAACACCACAAGACAGACCTATATATCAGCCAACAGCAGGTCACACCAGATTCCATCTCAGCCCTAATTCCTAATCCCTAGCTTTTAAACTAATACCTAATTCCTAAACCATTCTTTAATCTTATATATAATAGGGAGAATTTTGTTTCTCTATGAAGTGCTCACTCCACATTTTTTGTTATCAAGGTGTCAATTTGGCTGAACCACGTTAAACCTTTGTGTTCTTTCTTTTGTCTTTTTTGTTTCTATTATCTCTCCATATTCAACCTTATTGCCTTATTTCAAAATTCAACTTGTTATCAGAGCCTACCAAACCCTAGGCTTGTTTCTCTCTAGAGTGCTTTTTCACTCTACCTTTTTTGTTATCAAGGTGTTTTTTTCCCCTCTTCCTTTAGTTGACCAATAGTTTGCTGATGTGGTAACTTGGTAAGCAAACTTTGTGATTTTTACTTATTTCGGGGTTGTTGGTGTGTTCAATGGCATTATTCTGTGATACGCCAAGTTTTCCGGCTACTTCTCTACCCTTTTAGGGTCCTTGCATTGATGTGGTAAGCACATATTTGGTTCTTTTTGTTCTTGGGCTACCAGTGTGTTTGGTAGCATTCTTTATAGGACGTTTTTTCAGCCTTTCTGTTTGTGGTGATTTGCCGTTGCTTTGGCATTGTTGCTTTCTTTCTCTCAGTTGGTTTCTCTTGCTGCCATCATGACTAATTCCATGCACATTTCTCTGTTGCAAGATGTTGATTCCTTACCTATGTTCTTTGAAGTTGTCATTGAAGAGAGTTATTACAATTGTTGTTGTCTTTTGGCAACTTCATTGTAATTGTTTGTAATGATCATTCTATTTTCAAGTTCAAGTTGGACACTTCACTACAACCGTTCCGTGTTCTAACTTGAGGGGGAGTGTTGGTGATAAAATTATATTGTCAAAGATATCAGAAGATATTAGAGTATATGGAGATCCCATGATTTATGTTTATTATGATTTTTTTTTTATCTTTGATTTATTTCAATTCCTTAACTGAAGGGATTTGATTGTATCTCCCACTATGTATATATATATATATGGTGTATAGTATCAAATCGAGTGAATGAAAAATATGGCCCTTTAGGTAGGCCAATATGGCCGAACCATGTTAAATTTTTGTGTTCTTACTTTTCTCTTACTATATTGCCTTACTACAAAATTCAGCTTGGCTTTTCAATTCAAGTGTCCTAGCGTGTCGGACACGTGTCGGACACTCGTACGTGACCTCCGGAGAGGTGTTCATGCTTCATAGTTTCGTTGTGATTCAGTGAGTAATATAGAGATACTGAGTTTCCTCATTAAAATCTGATGGGACCATTCAACAACCTTCTTGTGCAGAAACTCCTGAACAAAATGGTGCGGCTAAGCGCAAGCAAAGACACATAATGGAGACTACTCGTTCCCTATTCATTTCTGCATAGTCTCCCAATTCTTTTTAGGGCGAGGTGAGGCTATTCTTACAGTTCTTCATCTTATTAACCAGATATCTTCTAAGCTCAATTCTAGCATTTCTCATTTTGAACGTTAATGTGGTAATCCTCTCAATTACTTCTCACTACGTGTCTTTGATTGTACTTGTTTTGTTCGTCTTATTGCTATTGGATTTGTTAATGGGAATCATTTTGTCCAGGTATAGCATTATAGTTTGTGTAATACATTTATCATTTTGTATTGCATCGCTCTCACACTTAAAGCTTTGTCAATGTAGGTGTTCATGTTACCGGGTCATTCAGTTCCACCGATATCTACCAATTGGTGCAAGTTTCATCATTCTTGTACGGCTAGATGGGATACTGCATATAGTTTCCGAATTGAGCATTTTAAACAAGTTGTTCATTCAGGGGTAGCTACTAGAGAGACATTTGATTGTATTAACCTTGATGAGTAATGATGTATGTGAGTTGAGTTGAGTTGAGTTGTAGTTACGTAATTCAAAAAGTTACCGATACATTTTTGTAATGATTAACAATTAAATAGTTGAGTTGGATTAAACTTTGAGTTAATTTAATGCACAAGGTACTACTTGTTCAGTGCAGTGTATCAAATGCAATGGCATAATACTTCCTCTTCATTACCAAAAATACAAGATGGTACGGTTCAGACCAAAAACACTTCAAATAGCCAGTATAGAATGTGATCTCATGACATGGGTGATGTTGACTGCAATGTCGATATGGATCCCAAGTAACCTAAGAGAGAAACACAAATGAAATCTTGATGAGTGACATGTAATGAGAAAACTTAATTAAACTAATATTAATTGGTATACCTCATCAAATGCCAATCTGTCAAGCTCCTCCCGTAATGCCTGTAGGTGTTTTTTTGTTGAGCCAGCTTCCCAACGAGGGGTCCATCGATGTACGTAAGGCAATTGTACAGTATATTCCATGTTTTGGTGAGGTCTAAATGGCCAGAAATGCTCATAAATCCATGCCTCTAACAATGTCATGTAACCAGCCATCTGTCGAACAGCTGATCTCGTGGCAAATTCCAACTGTCGGTATAAATATGCCAATGCAGCTGCACCCCAAGCATATGTATGAATATCAGACAAATCCATCAACAACTGCAAGTACACAACAGGAACTCTCGTTCCACTTTTATCGCTGAACAGTGTACATCCTAATAAAAATAGCAAATATGCTCTGGCGGCACAAGCTATGGATTTCTCAGTGTCTGAATCTTTGCAACCACTGAATTTGCTTCGTAACCACTCCAACTTCACTGATTGTCCCCTAGCAGATGATAGCTCCTCAGTTGCTTCAGCATCTTCAACTCCCAAGGCATCTACCACAAGTGCATGTGCCTGTTGATCTGTTAAAGTTACAGCACTAACTGATCTACCTGTGATAGGGATCCCCAAGATGGTACACACATCATCCAATATCATTGTCATCTCACCAACTGTCAAATGGGAAGTATTTGTCTCTGGTTGCCATCACTCAACAAATGCAGATATGACAATCCTATTCACGAACCGATATGTGCAATGGACCAAAGAAAATAGGCCTGACAGCTGCACAATGTCTCTAAACCTTCTATTGTCAGTTCTTGACCACCACCGCTACTCAAGAATCTTGGACGCATGATTATTAACACCTTAATGGATTCCTCTCCTACAAGGTAAGTAATAATTTACATATATAATTTTGTTCAATAAATAATTAAATGAAACAAACATAGATAAAAAAATATACTACCTTTTGCTCCCATATAACTGCTGCAATATGTGCCTTGAAGCTCTTCAGTACTGATAGATCTGATGGCCCCCCAGGAAACGGACCAGTGAGTATCTCCTCAGCCTGATCTACATCAGCAGCATCATCATCATCATCCCCTGAACCATTATCGATCACATCCTCTTCCAAGATTTGAGGTGCTTCCTCTAACACAATATCATCACCCCAACCTCTACCCCGACCTCGACCTTGACCTTGGCCATGACTAGTATTAGTTAATGCACAACGTCGTCTCTCTGAGGTAGTGTGTGGAATACGCGAAGGGTCATCCATTTTTGAAAATGAAACAGAAAATAATAAAGTTAACAGAAGTGTGTTTTGAGACTTTTGTCAAATCACTAAAATGAACCTTTGTCATGAGGCGAAGCACATCATTTTAAATGCTGCGAGTAATATGCTAATGTCATTAAGTTCAATTGTATGCAAAAATTAGTATACAAGCAACTGATCTAAGTTTAAGGTAATATGAGCAGTCATTTCTTGGGATTATTGCAAGTATTTATTCTAGCAATGGTCATTCTGTCGGGTAGCATGAATATTATAAGTATATTATAGCATTCAAGTCAAGTGATCCACGTGCCTACCAATGATCATTATGTAGGTGTTCCTTGAATGTTGTTTTGGACTACTTTTGTTAATAATTTAATTAGAAGAAATTAACTTTATTTTTTATAGGAATATATATGGAATGGAATACCAAATGGCATGAGCAAGTAATTATACATTTTTACAAGCAATCAAATTAGCCCTTAGGCCATACTCACTAACTAATAGAAACCTAAAAATTTCTCGAAATCATTATAGGAGTCTTATTAAGAACAAGAAATCTGTTCATTTAATGGAAGCAAATCAAACGATTGTAAATGTTTTACAAGGCTTTTTATTAAATCTGTTCATTTAATATAAGGTTCATTCACATTATTGTCTCCCTACATTAATGTTTACAAAAAAAAAAAACTTGTTCGACAGTATCTGTCTGAACATATTATACATGTTTGACAATCTACATCCGAACATGTTCGACAATCACCAACCATACAAAATAATATTTTCCGAAAAGCAAGTACCGAACGAATTTAGGGTCCGAAAAACTAGCGTCGAATGATTCATTCAAATACAAATTTCATGCCAATGGAGATAAGTACATAAAACCCTAAAATAAATGATAACTCACCTACTAAATCTCCAATGTGAAGTTCCAACTGTGTTGAGCACCACCACCGATGACGTCTTTGATGAGTGTTTTGAGCAATGGTGTTCACCGGTTTGAATAGAGAATGGAGAGGGAGATGAATATCGTGGGTGTGGGGTGTGTGAGTGAGTGAGGGCAAAGATGGAAGTTTGTGTGTATATCGGTATGGGTGGGTGTGTGTGTAAGGGTAAATATACAAATTTGTGGTGTGTGATGAGAAAAATATTTATTTATCAAATTATTATAGGTGTACCTTTAGAAGTGGTTTGCCTTGAGATAAATTATGGTGTGTAAATAGAGGCCCTGTAAAGTGATACGGAATAATGATTGAGGGGTGAAGTGCAATTTTTCTGTTAAACAATAGATATTAAACTAAAATTTTAGAGTAAATTACACCATTGGTCTCTCTAGTTTAAGAGAATTCTCACTTTGGTTCTTATAGTTTCAATTTGAGCAATTTAGTGCTTATATTTTGTTACAATGTGGTCACTTTCTCATGTATTATTAACATTTTGAACAAAATAAAATCAGGTGAAGAATTAAAGGAACTAAAGTGGAATTCAAAATAAATTACAAGGACCATTAGTTTAATAAATATAAGGTAAATTACAATAAACTCTCTAAAACTATAACCTATTTGCATTTTGCCCCTCCAAACTTTGAAACTCAACAGTTAACCACTTAAAAGTATTAACTTGTTACAATTAACCCTTTTTTTTTGGTTAATATTCTATTAGAAATTTATAAAAAATTAGATTATGTGAAAAGCACATAAAACATTTATTAAAATTTGAAGATAATAATACTCTTATTTGGTGATCTCGTTTGCTCTTTTTCACTAAAATAATGGAGACAATGTGCAAATGAGATCACAAAAAATGATATATATTATCCTAAAAAAGTCAATAACTATTATTGTTTTAAAAAATCAATAATTGTGTCATGCATTTCATGCATATTCTATTTAAATCTCTAACAAATCCTAACAAGAAGTGTCAAACATAACAAAATAACAATTAAAGGTGATTAACTATTGAATTTTTAAGTTCAAAGAGGAAATGAGTCATAATTTAAGATGGTTTAATATAATTTATCCATGAATATATTTGTTTTGAATTTCACTCTGGTCATTTCAATTTTATACATATTCTTTTGTTTTCTTTTCTTTTTTTGTTCTAAATATAAAAAGTTAGTGACGGACGGATCATATTATAATAAAATTAAAATTATAAAGAACAAATGTTCAAATTAAAACTACGGTAACTAAAATAATAATTAACTTAAACTATAAGGATGTGATTTATCTAAAATTTAAAGTCAAACTGCGGGTGAAAAGTGTAATTTAACCTTATTTTGGTGCTAGGGAATGAAAATTAACTGACATGTCAGTAATATTTCAAAAATTCCCAAACGGGAGCCAATAAATCTGGTGGTGAAGAAGAAACCAGTTCTTCCTTAACGTCGCCAGGAGGGAGGGAGGGAGAGAGAGAGAGAGAGAGAGAGAGGTTTCTTTCATGTTCCCACTCAATTTTTGGCAAATTTTCATCTCAGGTTTCTTCCCCTTCTCTCTCTCTCTCTCTCTCTCTCTCTCTCTCTATATATATATATATTGTGGTTGAGTTGAATTGATCGCAGGAGGGTTGATTTGTGCTGGCGAAGAAGAAGAAGAAGAAGGGCAGGAATGGCCATGGCGTCCTCTCAGCTCCTCATTCACAATTTCTTAATCACCATCGCATTTGGCATTCTCCTATTATTTCCTATATCAATTGTGTCTGCCGATGACCCTAAATCTCCTGCCTGCAACAAGTTACAGCGATTGGTAAATTCTCAATTAATCAATCAATAATTAGATCCTCCATTTCTTTTAAATTGTTCATTGAGGTTCATTGATTTCAATTGTTCTTGTTATCTCATTTACATTTCTATGTGCCTATGTTATTACTCTATCAAACACAAATGCTTTGAGCACAATTATTTTTTGAATTTTTCTTTAATTGTACTTTAGTTCACATATCCAAACTATTATGAAATTGAGATTGTAATAAGAATGTTTAGCATTAGACTATATAATTGTTAGAATAAATACATGAATAGTTTTTCAATACTTTACTTGCTTTTTAGAGAAAAATAGTGAGATTAAAGTGTACCCTACTAATATCACATTTATCAAATTGACTTATCCTAAATGTGTCGTACATGTGTCTCATATTCGTATCCATACTTCATAGAAAGAAAGGATAAATAAGAAAACATGACGATACTAAAATTAGATTCATTAGTTAAACAAGCAAGTAAAATTGCGTACAACACTTCAGCATGTAACACTTTTAATTGTGAAACGGAAAAGCACAACAACATAAACAATTTAGTATTGACATTGAAATTAAATTTTTACAAGACCTACTGAAAAACGAAAAGTAAACTAACTACTAGCTTTTTTTTTTTTTTTTTGATTGGCAAAAAAGAAACTTTATTGATGAAGAATCAAGTACAAAGTACAAGCAAAAAACATGAATAAAGAAAAGGGAAGTGCAAAAGCATCCCAATGAGCTAAATCATCCCAACTAGGTTGGCACCAAAAACCCATCCTATCATTTGCTAACACCCTCAGAGTTGGTGAGAAACCAATAAGAAAACAGACCAAACACCACAAGACAGACCTATATATCAGCCAACAGCAGGTCACACCAGATTCCATCTCAGCCCTAATTCCTAATCCCTAGCTTTTAAACTAATACCTAATTCCTAAACCATTCTTTAATCTTATATATAATAGGGAGAATTTTGTTTCTCTATGAAGTGCTCACTCCACATTTTTTGTTATCAAGGTGTCAATTTGGCTGAACCACGTTAAACCTTTGTGTTCTTTCTTTTGTCTTTTTTGTTTCTATTATCTCTCCATATTCAACCTTATTGCCTTATTTCAAAATTCAACTTGTTATCAGAGCCTACCAAACCCTAGGCTTGTTTCTCTCTAGAGTGCTTTTTCACTCTACCTTTTTTGTTATCAAGGTGTTTTTTTCCCCTCTTCCTTTAGTTGACCAATAGTTTGCTGATGTGGTAACTTGGTAAGCAAACTTTGTGATTTTTACTTATTTCGGGGTTGTTGGTGTGTTCAATGGCATTATTCTGTGATACGCCAAGTTTTCCGGCTACTTCTCTACCCTTTTAGGGTCCTTGCATTGATGTGGTAAGCACATATTTGGTTCTTTTTGTTCTTGGGCTACCAGTGTGTTTGGTAGCATTCTTTATAGGACTTTTTTTCAGCCTTTCTGTTTGTGGTGATTTGCCGTTGCTTTGGCATTGTTGCTTTCTTTCTCTCAGTTGGTTTCTCTTGCTGCCATCATGACTAATTCCATGCACATTTCTCTGTTGCAAGATGTTGATTCCTTACCTATGTTCTTTGAAGTTGTCATTGAAGAGAGTTATTACAATTGTTGTTGTCTTTTGGCAACTTCATTGTAATTGTTTGTAATGATCATTCTATTTTCAAGTTCAAGTTGGACACTTCACTACAACCGTTCCGTGTTCTAACTTGAGGGGGAGTGTTGGTGATAAAATTATATTGTCAAAGATATCAGAAGATATGGAAGATATCAGAATATATGGAGATCCCATATTTGTGCTTATTATGATTTTTTGTATCTTTGATTTATTTCAATTCCTTAACTGATGGGATTTGATTGTATCTCCACTCTATATATATGGTGTATCTTGAAAATAAGAGTATTAAGTTGAGTGAATGAAAGACGTAGCCCATAAGGTTTTGTGTGTGTAGATGTAGGATAATATTGGCCGAACCATGTTAAACCTTTGTATTCTTTCTTTTATCTTTTCTATTTTTACTATCTCTCCATATTCAACCTTATTGCCTTATTACAAAATTCAACTGTGTCACCCAAAAGCACTTCAACCTCCTTATGATTTTGACCATTTTGCACTAAACCCCCTTGCCGTTATTAATTTCGTCCAAATTGACAGAAAGTGTTCCACACTCACCAAAACTAAGAGTTGGCAATGAAAAAAAATGTAAGTCAAAGTCAAATTCAATGTTAAAAGACAAGAACCAACGCAACTTCTCCCCTCCCACATCCGGATTGCTGCCCCATCTCCTCTCTGAGATCCACATTGCTATCTCCTATCCCTTCAAGGACCATCGTAACCACCTTCTCCATCCATTTTATCTCCAATGCAGCGAAGGAACATAACATCAAAGGCTTAGGAACCATTCTTTAGAACCTACAAAATTCAAAACAAAAAATCTGAGGAACGTTTCTTCAAAACCTATACATAAAATTGTTCTTAATTTCATCTAACAGTTCATCATCCTCAAAAGTTTGTTGTTAAACATAGTATATGTATATAAATATATATACATTTACATATATACATATATAATCAAATTAACATTAGGTGATTTAATTGAACTAATTAGGGTTCATTTGCAATTTAATTAAATTAAGTTAACTCTTTTTTCTTTTCTTTTCTTTTCTTTTCTTTTTTTTTTTCCCTCATGGGAAGTTAATGTTGTTTGGTAGAAATTATTATTTTTTGATAAATGTGGTTTAAGGCAGAAATTATGTGTACAATAGAAGAGAGAAAGAAAATAAAAGAAGCAAAAAATGAGGCAAAGGTTAGAGGGGTATTAAAGTCATTTCACATGTGTCATTAGAGTTCGGGTTGCAATTTGGTCCAAAACTATATGGGGGCTTTCTACCTATATTTGAACCATATGAGGTAAAGTGCTCCAATGCTAAACCACAAGAGGGGTAAAATGAATTTTGCCCTACACAATATAATTCTAAAAATTATAAAAATAATATTCTTTACGAATGTAACCTAATGCTATTTTTTCAAGTTTGGTCAAATCTCTGTCTGTGTATCCTGTGTTTGCATTCATGCTTCATACAGTTATTACTGCATCATTTATGAACGAATTGCATAAAAGTGGTGTTTGAGGTGGTTCCAACAATACATAAAAGCCATAACAATATATCATAGTCCGTTTCAAACAAAATAATAATAATAATAATAATAATAATAATAATAATAATAATAATAATAATAATAATAAGGAGAATATTGACACAGTTGCAGTAACATTTTAACCAACTGAAATTTTTACTTGTTGGTGGAGACATTTTCTTTAGCTCAATTACTCGCTTTCCTGTCCTAGTATTAAATAGAATCTAAAAAAGCTAATGTGTTTGGAAAGTTTGCTAAAAAAACTGCTTTTTTGCGAGTGAAAAATGTTGATGTTATTTGTCTTTTTTAGCTGATGACAAACAACTTTTTAGATTTCTTTGCAAAAGCTGGCTTTTTTATGTGTACCCTAAACGGCCACTTAGTCCCATTTACTTGGGGTTGGCTACATGTATTTGTTTCCTTTGGTTAGCCATATTAAATGTCATATCATCGGTTATTTGGTTGGAGCTGAATGCAAGGATCTTTGAGGACTAGTTGGAAAATATTAACACCTTATGTGACAGAGTTAGTTTCTTGTCTTCTTTTTGGGTTTCAGTCTCCTCTACTTTTAGAGGGTACCATCCCTTTTGATTTTTAGGGATCAGATTGGAGGCTAGCGTGTGACATGTAACTTGTGATATTGTTTTTTGTTGTTCTGCTTTTCCCATTTTGGAGGACTTCTTGTCCTCTGACTCTCTTGTAATCCCTTTGTTCTCTTTCATGTTAATTCTCTTTCGTTTTCGTTCAAAAAAAAATCCAAGGCAATCATATCTTGTTCAATGCCTCAGAGGATGCCCATCTTAGTTTATTTCTTTTTTTTTTGTGTACCCATAACATGCATGAAATTACTTCTTACGGGCACACTAATTTGTCTATGTTTCATATTGTGTTGGAATTAGTAAAAGAATAAGAATCCCATGATTGTTGTATCACTGTTTAATAGGCTGATATTATGTCAACACGGTTTATTAGGCTGATATTATGTCAACATTTATTTTTATTTCCTATTCTGTAAATCTCTACCTCAGTATATATATATTCAAGGTTAGTCATTGATTCAGACTATGCCATCATTCATATTATTCTTCTCTTCTTGGTATCAGAGCCTAAACTCTAGTTGCATCATGCCCATCCCTCCTTTTGTTGGCATCCTCAGGGTACCCGACAGGAGCCTGCCCTTCTCTCTTTTCCTCCGAGCCCTGACAGGCCCTCTTTTCTCTTTCTACAGACCCAACAAGCCTTTCCAGTACCTGCCGAGGCCTCCATCACTAACCTGACCACTCCTGGTCAGGGTGTTGTCTGGTGAGCTCTCTAGGTTAGTCTGGCTACTTCTCTACCCTCTACTATAGGGCCTGCCCTGCTGCCTCGCTTCAATGGTAGTAAGGCAATCAAAGTATACCTTCCACCAACACTACTATGGGACATTGTTTTGGTTCTACATTAATATGTCAAATTTCAAAAGTAGTCTTACTTACTAGGACTAGTACACATTATGGATGGACATTGTTTTGGTTCTACATTAATATGTCAAATTTCAAAAGTTGTCTTACTTACCAAGATTAGTACATATTATGGCTAAGACAGAGGATCACATATTTAATCTTCTTTCCATGTAAAACATCACAAGACATTAACTTATAATGGATAAGGCTACGCTAGCGTGCCATTTCCATTAATGGACGAATAACAATGTGGGGTGCCTGGGGGTGTAGTATATGTAGGACATGAACATATATATATATATATGATTAGCACCGGAGTGTCCGGATCAAAGCCCGACTAATCCTTATGGGTGCACAGGCCCTCGGCAAGGAGTTTCCCGTAAATGCACCACAGTTAATTCAAGGGGTTTCCTTTGGTCCGATGGCCCCAAGGAATTGTAAGCACCTAAGAGGTTTTGATTCCTGAACCTTGGAGAGAGCACATCCCCAAGACCCAAGGCCTTGCCACTAGGCCAACCCCTTAGGGTTGTAGGACATGAACATATTTGATAGTAGATTTTAGGGTTAATTACAAAAAAAATCCCAAGGTTTTGTGTGTTTTTCAATTTAAACCCTAGAGTTTCAATTTCGACAAATTAAACCCTAGAGTTTCATTCGTGTTTCAATGTGAACTCTCTGTCTCACTTCATCTTCTTCCTTCTTTTAGATTCAAAACCACATGTTCAAACCCTTGTATCTCCCTCGTCGTAATTCCGTTTCGCCTCATTTTCACATTGTTGGATTCACCTCATGGCCTAGTTTTCCTTCCACCCCTCATACACCTTGTTCCACCTCTTTTTGCATGTCGTTGGAACTCTGAAAGTTGGCCAAAAATAAGATTTTTCTCTCTTTTTATTTTTTATTTTATTTTTTCCTTGCTGCTATCAAGACAATATTCTTGGCAGCAGAGAAACAATGGATGATGCTTGATTGAAAACCAAGGTGCCTTGACATGCTCATTGACCCATTTGGTTTTTGATTTTTGTGGGTAGTTGTATACTTATCACCACTTGACAGCACCGCCACCATTAAAACCACCACCTCACCTTATAGATAATGATGGTGAAGCAGCACCAGCAACAAGCCAGGAGGAGGAGCTGCGGAGGAGGAAGAGAAACATCTTAACTGAATTAAAGAAAATTGCTACATGATATCTAGGTTTTGCAACACAATTGATAAATCATATATTGGATTCAGACTTGTATGCTTATGATTAAGAAAAAAGATATATATGTCATGAAATTTATTAGGAAAGTACAATGTGTGGAGCTTTGGGGGTTGAAATAAAAGCTAAATATATTACACATTTTCAAACATATGTTTTTGGATGTCTACTTTGTTTTACAACCAATGGTTTTTTCACTTCTTACTCAGGAGTTGTAGCTCCATCCATGTAATCAATTAGTGTGAGACCTCATTTCCATTATGAGTAAAAAATGAAAAATGAAATAGTTTAAAGAATGTAGATTATTTTATCGACCCATTTGTTGTTTGATTTTTGTGGGTAGTTGTATACCTATCACCACTCGACGGCATTGCCACCGTCGAAGGTTCGGTGGCCACAACAAGCTCGGTGGAAGGGCCATGAAGGAAGAGGAAAAGAGAGAATAATTGTGGAAAGGAAGGAGGAAGGAAGAAGCATGGAGATAGAAGATATAGGAAAAAAAATAGAGAGAGAGAGAGAGAGAGAGAGAAATATTATTTTTGGCCAACTTTCGGAGCTCCAACGGCATGCAAAAAGAGGTGGAACAAGGCGTATGAGTGGTGGAATGAAAACTAGGCCATGAGGTGAATCCAATGACGTGAAAACGAGGCGAAACGGAGTTACGATGAGGGAGATACAAGGGTTTGAATAGGTTGGTTTAAATCTGAAAGGAATAAGATGAGTGAGAGGGAGATGGACGGAGGGTTCACATTGAAACACAGATGAAACTCTAGGGTTTAATTTGTTGAAATTGAAACTTTGGGGTTTAAATTGAAAAACACGCAAAACCTTGAGGGTTTTTTTGTAATTAACCCTAGATTTTATGTTGAACATGACATTTATAAAGCATGATTATGATTTATCAGCAGCAAGACCCTACATTGGACAGAGTGACAGTTATAATTATATTGAGAAGAAAATGAAACCTACAAAAAAAAAAAAAAAACGACAACAACAACAACAATGCCCAATTAGTACACATGAAACCTATGAAACATAAATTAGTATGTCTTTTGTACGGCATGTGTATTTTCTGTTGTCCAAAGATTATTTCAAAATTGGACTTTTTGCCTAAGGACATGAGATTGCAAATGAACTAATATGGTTTCTTTACTGAATATATTTTCAGGTCAAGATTAAAATGTGGGTTAATGGTGCTGAAGGTGAAGAGTTAGGTGGATCAACTGCAAAATTTGGTGCTGATTTGCCCACTGATGCTAAAGACGGCCTAAGGTTGCCTGCTGTTTTTGCAAACCCCTTAAACTGCTGTTCCAGTTATTCTTCAAAGGTTTAATCTTGTTTTCTTACTTGAGTTTGTTTCTTCTATTTCTTACTTTGTCATGGATTTTATGTGCAAGTTTATGTTAATATTGAGTATTTCATCACTTTGCTGTTTTGTTGCCAAGGAAATATGAGAAGGAAAAACAAAAATAAATTTTAAGCCAAATAAATAGATGTAATGTGCTCACTTTAGTTTATGCTTTGTAATATTTGAATGATGAGAAACTTATATTCAGCATCAAAATTTATTTTCTTTTAGAACTTATGCTCAGGAGCCAAACAAAATGTAAGATCCTTATTATTGTTTTGGAATTTGTAATTCATTTGAAAGCCTAATGTTCTTTCATTTTTGAAGGAATTCGTTTTACTCATTGTACCTCTTCTTTTCCCTTTTCTTTAATAATATTTGTTTGTTACTGAACCAATAAAAAAAGAGAATCTTTCTGGGAGCACAAAGTGTTGTTTGTTGTATTTGTAATTGATTAGAAACCAAAATGGTGCCTGCAAAGCATTGCGTTCAATGGTTATATTGTATCTTCCAAGCCTGGTGCAAATAGTCTCCGTTATTGTTTTGCAGTTATCTGGTTCTATTGCTTTGTCCCCACGTGGTGATTGTGATTTCATGACCAAGGCTGAAGTTGCGCAATCAGGAGGTGCAGCAGAGTTGTTGGTCATACATGATAAAGAAGGTTGTAATATTTGGTACTTTCAAACATATTCCAAACATTTCAGACTCTGTTTATAATGGCTTATATTGGATGATTCTTTGAGTATAAATGGCGACATCTTTCTCTTTCATCAACACCTCATTTCTGACCTATTTTCTTCCCCTGTTTTTGTTTTTTTTTTTTGCCTCATTGTAGATCTTTTGGAGATGAGTTGTCGTGAGAAAAACATTGTAAACATCAAAATTCCTGTTGTGATGATAGCGAAGTCAGGAGGAGAGGCTATAAACAAATCCATGACAGGTGGAAGGAAAGGTGAGCCCTGAAGTTCCTAAAATTTTGTTGAATTACTGAGTTAAACTTATTTCTATATTTGTTTCTGGGTTTGGACCCTTGAAACCTTCGAGATAGATGGGAAGCTGTATAAATACGTAGTTGGTAAGGGAGGACAAATGCAAGCTGGTTGATGACTGTAATTGGAAATGGAATAAATAGATTAGAAAATGAGGGTAATGTGGTTTAAAATGTTGACAGGTAGGACTCTAGATAGAGTCAGATGCTTTCGAAACTTTTCCTTTCACTATTATGTCAGGGATTATTTTTGCAAAGTATGTCAGGGATTTTGAAAGTGCAGAATTTTAGATTTCGGTTGAGTTATGTCTCAATGATAGATTTAGGAAAGTGTAATCTGCTTTCTTTTGTTGGGTTCAAAAAGAATTTGGTACAATAACTAAGGAAATTTGTTTGAGTTTTTTTTTTGCTTTTCTTTTTTAGTTACTTCATCACATGTTGCCATGTATTAACACTAAACCTTAATTATTTAACCACATATTAAATATACATTACATATATATGGAATCATTTAAAGTGGTGCAATTTTTGTGATTGATGACTTCAAATTTTAATCAAGTAGGGTAATTTTTGTTAGAAAAGGAGCTTTGGAGCATTGATTTTTGGTTTGAAATCTGAGAGAGAGAGAGAGAGAGAGAGAGAGAGAGAGAGAGAGAGAGAGAGAACTCAGGAGCCTAACACAAAATGTGTATCATCTTTGTATAACTAACCGTACCAATGAACCTCTATATATATACATGACAGAGAGAAGGGCTAAGTATCTTCTCCATCAGTGGAAGGTAAAAGATTTGCCGAATCATCGCTGTCAGCAACAGTAATTTTTTATTTTAGTTAAAATCAATGTAGTTGAAGAAAGGAGAGAGAATAAGAAGAGAAGAGAGAGAAGAGTTGCAAAAGAAGAGGCACAACCCAAAATTAGGGTTTTTTTCTCTCTAATCACATGTATTTATATTAATGAGTGCTTAAGTACAAATATACCCACTAACACATAACTTAACACTCCCCCTCAAAGTTGGTGCATAGATATCTCTCGTACCCAACTTGCACACAATGGGATGAAAAATCTTACTGCCTAAACCTTTAGTGAAACATCAGCTAATTGATCTTCAGATTTCACAAAAGGCACACAAATCATGCCACTGTTCACTTTCTCCTTGATAAAATGTCTATCAATCTCGATGTGCATAGTGCTATCATACTGAACCGGATTATGAGCAATGTTAATAGCAGCCTTATTATCACAATATAGCCTCATAGGTCCACCACTTGTCAATCCTACATCAGCCAATAGAACTTGAAGCCACATAAGCTCACAAATGCCATTTTCTATGTCCTGATATTCTGCTTCCGCACTTGACCTAGCTACAACTGTTTGCTTCTTACTTTGCCAAGTTATAACCTGAAGTAGATCACCTATCATCAACTGCATCAGCCCAATCTGCATTAGCAAAGACTTCTAACTTCAAATGACCATGATTAGAGAACAAGATGCCTTTTCCCAGGCTAATTTGAGATACCTCGGGATCTGATTAACTACATCCAAATGCCCTATTCGAGGGTCATGCATGAATTGGCTTACAACATTGACTGCATATGCAATATCCGACCTAGTATGAGAGATATATCAATCTCCCTACAAGCCTCTGATATCTCCATCACTACTACTAAGTCAATGATTGGCTTCAATAGGAGAATCTGTCGGTCTACATCCCAACTTTCCTACCTCTTCTAGCAGTTCTAAGACATACTTTCTTTGAGAGATAAAAATGCCCTTATTTGATCTAGCAATTTCAATCCCAAGAAAGTAACGTAAAGGATCAAGGTCTTTGATTTCAAACTCTTTGGAAAGTTGAGATTTAATCTAAGAGATTTCTTCTGCATTGTTACCAGTCACCACCATGTCATCCATATAGACAGTAAGCACAGTGACTTTATCTCCACACCGTTTAATAAACATTGTATGATCTGCATGACTCTACTTATATCCAAATCTGAGCATAGCTTTAAGAAACTTGTCAAACCAAGCTCTAGGAGATTATTTCAACCTATATAATGCCTTCCTTAATCGACAAGCCTTTCCCTTAGTTGCACGAAGCGGGAGCGGGGGCGGGAGCGGGGGCGAGGAAGCGTGAGCCGATAGAAGTTTCTTAGGTTGGGAGCGCCTCGGGGAGCGATAATATATATATATATATATTTTTAATACACATTAGAAGTTTTTTTATAAATATTTTTATTTTAATACACATTAATTATACATTAATTATTTTATTTATTTATTATATTTTTTAAATAATGTATTATTGTTAATTTATTTTTTTATTTTTAATTGATATATATTATAAATAAAAAATTATAATAAATAAGGAATAATAAATTATGTTAAAATAAACAAAAAGAAAAATTAGATATTTTATTTTATAATTTTTTTATTATATATGATTTTATTTTATAATTTTTTTATTCTATATGTTAATGTTTAGGATATTGAGAATATTAAAAATATAAAAAAATAAATAAAAGATGTAAAATGGTTTTTTTATTACTAAAAACAAAAAAAGGTAAAAAAAGCAAAATAAAGAATAAAAAAGGGAGAGAGAGACAGCAACGAAGAGGGAAGAGAGGAGTCGAATACAGGGGAGGAACAAGAGAGACGAACAAAGAGAGAGAGGGGAGACAAAGACGAAGATGAACACAGAGAGAGAGAGAAGGACGAAGGAGACGACGACGAAGAGCATCGAACAGAGGGAGAGAGAGAGTCAAAGAAGATAAACAGGTTCCACTTCGACGATGAACAGAGGGAGAGAGATAGTCGAACACACATAGATTGGAAGAACATACCTTGATCTAGTCTCGATTAGGGCTTCAACAGGTTTTTCTCCTTTCTCTTTCTCTTTCTCTTTCTCTGTCTTCAATGGGTTAGGGTTTCTGTCTGTTTTCTCTTTCTCTGTCTTCAATGGGTTTGGGCTTCTCTCTGTCTGGGTTTCTGAGTTGTTTTATTTCCACCAACGATCCCATCTTGGACAGGATCACGTTTCTCTCTCTACAGAAACGTGATTCTTACACGTTTCTTTCTATGAAACGCGGAATCGCGTTTCTTACGAAGATTCGTCACCTAGTTACGCGATTCCTGCAACTAAGACCTTTCCATTAGTGATTGAGGAAGTGAACCCTGTAGGAACATCCATATACACCTCTTCTTCTAAATCACCATAAAGAAATGCATTATTCGCATCCAACTGTCGCAATGGCCATCCTAGATTTGCTGCACAAGAAAAAAGGATACGAATGGAATTCATCTTAGCCACCGAAGCAAAGATCTCTTGATAATCAATGCCATAGGTCTGAGTGAACCCTTTAGCAACAAGTCTCACCTTATATCTCTCAATGGTCCCATCAGCCTTTTGCTTAATTGTGAACAACCATTGGCACCCCACGGGCTACTTTCCCGATGGTAGAGAAACTAACTCCCAAGTACCATTCTTACTTGGTGTCCTCATCTCCTCTTCCATAGCTTCTTTCCACCGAGGATCATTAAGTGCTTCCTTCCAACCCTGCGGAATTGATCTAGAGGACAAAGAAGAAACAAAGGCACGGTATGATGGGGACAAGGAATCATAGGGCACAAAATTAGATATAAGATGTTGAGTACAACTTCTAACTCCTTTCCTAATAAAATTAGGAAGATATGAATCATCGACTTGAACATCACTAGTAGGAAGAGGAGTAATAACCAAGATATCATTACCTGAAATCTTTGTAAATGGATGAGGAATTGAAGCCGGAGATGGTGATTGGTATGATGGCACATAGGTTGATTACCCTTTTGGTCGCCGCGAGTAGGTCTTAAGATCAGACTTGTCCAACCTACTAGACTTCCCTTCAACACACTCATTTGGCTCCCTCTCACAACATGTTTCCTCCCCCTCATGACAAATTGTAGGAAAGAACACTGGATCTGGAGAAACCATCTCTTCCATAGGAAAAACCTCCCCCTGAAGAGATGAACCACTGAAGAAAGACTCAGATTCACAAAAAGTAACATCCATAGTAACATAGACCTTGCGAGAGTGAGGATCATAGCACTTATAGCCTTTCTGAGTGGGGGAATAGCCAAGGAAGACATACCTTAGAGCCTTGGGATCTAGCTTGCTATGAGTCAGATGAGAAGAATGAACAAAATAGACACAACCAAACACTTTAGGAGAGAGAGATATGGGGTGAGTAGAAATGCAAGGTAGAAGATCAAGAGGCTGTTGAAACTGGAGAACACTAGAAGGCATGCGATTAATAAGATGTGCAGCAGTAAGAACCGCATCAGCCCAAAAAGGTTTAGGAACCTGCATAGTGAACATAAGAGCACGAGCGACCTCAAGGAGATGGCGATTTTTACGTTTGGCAACACCATTCTGTTTAGGGGTACCAACACAACTAGTTTGATTAAGAATACCATGTGCTTCAAGGTAGGCCCGAAATTGGCCATCAATATACTCAGTACCATTGTCACTTTGGAAAACTTTAATGGGAGTGGCAAACTAAGTAAGCAACATTTTATGAAATGCTTGAAAGCAAGAAAAAACCTCACTTTTGGTCCGAAGCAAATAATTTTAAGTAACACGAGAATATCAATCAATGAAATGACAAATCAACGATAACCAGACACAGACACAACACGAGAAAGGCCGGCCCCACACATCAGAATGAATAACCATAAAGGAAACGTACTTCTTTTATTTCGAATGTTATTAGTTCCGGTACATAGACCAAATAATACAATGCAAGCAAAAGTTCCTAGATTCATGGAGATATAGAACAATATATAAGTTATCATGCTTGCATATCCATCATTTGAGTCTCCAACAATTATTCCAATAATTACATATCCGATTTGACCTATGGACGAATATGCAAGCATACGTTTCATGCTTGTTTGAGTAATAGCAATGGGTAACAAGAACGTTTATGTTTGGCAAATTCACATGCATCACAATGAAAATTATTCTTATGACAATCCTTCACTAAACTAGGAAAAAGTTTTTAGAGAATAAAAATAGAGGGATGTCCTAAACGCCGATGCTACTGATGTAAAAGGGAAAGTGCTGAAGTTGCGGAAGCGCCAGTAGTCTGAAGGGCTTGGCAAGAAGACACTGCAGAAGAAAGCTATAAAGAGCTATAAAAAAAATGTTGTAATTTAGTCATACTTGAGCTTTGTGCATTATTAGCATTTTAGCATGATGTGTTTGTATTTGTCATGTGATTGTAGTTGCTTCTATTTGATGTAGTATGACTAATCATTTGTTCTTCAATATAGTGGAAATTATGTTATATTCGCCAAATCGTCCAATTGTGGACTTCTCAGTGGTATTCTTATGGTTGATGGCTGTGGGGACGGTTATTTCCGCTTCGCTTTGGTCAGAGTTTACTTCAACTGAGCAGAATGATGACCGCTATGAACTGTCGCCAAAGGTTTTAAATAATTTAAACTCCATTTTTTGTCGTTCATATTTTTTGTAGCTTGAATGCATGTCGCATAGATATGTCTTGTTATGTCGCCACAAAATTTGCTAATTTTGATACTAAATTGTCCTTGTTGATATTGTGCTCCTTGATCACATTCTTTGACATTTCATTGGAATTTGTTGTTGGCTGCACAAGAGAGATTTCTAGTTAATGATGAAATTTTAAATTAAAATTTACACTTAATTGCTTAATACCCTTTTGAAACTCCTGCTGGAGATTTAATTTTTATCATGCCTTGCTTGACACATCCTAAATAGCTTTAGCCTCATAGTAAAAATATTCTGAATTTGGTCTCTAGATTTAATGTGGATCTTCGAAAATCTATTTTATCATCATTGTGGTCTATCTGTGTAGGTTTGGTTGTCTCATAAAAGAATAGATTAGAAGCAAGATACACTGCAGGCTGTCAGTCACAATATATGTGGTTAATTGTCTTACTATAAGTCACCTCTTGTGCAAAACAATTTTTACTCAATTACATTACAGGTTTTATGTGCCTGATCCGAGTTCAGCTTCTTAAAATTGCCTTGCCACTATATTATGCTTCCTGGTCTTTCATGTAGCCTTGTTACCACAAGTATTGGGAAATACTCTAAAAGCGATCTCCTTCATATTCCTTGACATAGACACTGTTTGGTTTTTGCTAAATATTTCTATTTAAGTAAAGAAATAAAAAAATCATTTGTTTGGTTTCTGCTGATTTAGGTGACAAAAGGGGAAAAAAAACTACCTTTTTATCGAAACCCCCTCGTTTGGCTAGTGCTAAAACCATTTTTTTTTTTGAAGCACTTTTGTCTTTAGTGAATTTGTTTTAAATTATTTTTTTTATTTTTTATTTTTACTTTTTAGTACCTAGTCTAGAAGGATCTAAAAAGTATTTTTTATTTTTTGAATTTTTTTTTAAAAAAGTTAACTATAGGCAAAAACAATTCTAAACCCCACCAGAACTTTCCAAATAACAAAAACAACTTTTTTAGCATTTGCCAAACACATCAATTTTTTAGCAGCAACTTTATTCTAAAAAAGTAAAAAGCAAAAAACAAAAAAAAAGCTACTGCCAAACCAACCTTTGGCCTGCTTATTGACAAAATGAGTGGAACTATAAGTAGAGGTGGACGATTAATGGGGAGGTAGAGGTAGAAGTGATATGAGGGAGGGGAACATTGAGTTTAGCACAAAGGCTTCCTAGTCCTAGGAGGTGGAAGGGAGTCGTGGGTCTGAACGGGGTTTGGGTAGGGGAGGGTTGAGCTTCAAGGGGTTCACTTCAGTTGGAATTTCATTTGGAATTAGTTAGAATGTTAAATATGTAAAACTAGGGCTAGGGTTAGAGTGGAAGAGAGATAAACGAAGGAGGAAAGAAGATATTTTGGCAATAGGTTTTGGGTTTCTAATTAAACCCTCCACCATTAACATATATTTATATGAAAAGCACTGACATACCAATATGACCAAATCAACTTAACATAAAATAACAAATAACATAAGACTATGCTATCACTCTCCCTCAAGTTGGAGCATGGGCCATGTTTAATTGACAGGATTAGAGCATGGAATTGGGATTATTAATCCGTGAGCCCAATAATCCTATATTTGTTTTGAAATTTTATTTTAGGATTATTAATCCAATGGATAATTAATCCAACAAATTTGTAGGATTACTAGTAATGGGATAGGGGTGTGATTATATATCTTGAGCTGGGAAATAAAATAAAAATACTCTGTTACCCTTGACTAAAAATTAAAACACTTATTATTTTCATATAATTTTATATTTTAGAAGGCTAAAAATAATTTTTAAAAATTTAAAAATATTTTTTGATATTTATTTTATCAAATTAATTTATATTTTTTTTAAAAAAAATTAAAAAAAAAAAAAAAAAACAAACTCAACATTTGATTCTTATAACAAAATAAATTATGAATTTTTAATTTTTTCAATTTAAATTTTAATATTTTAAAATATATTTTAATCATGAAATTTAGGATTTTTTTTTTTAAGGTTTTGATATTAAGATTTTATAAAATAAAGGATATACAATATTTTCATAGTGGTTAAGATCTCTCAACATTTTCACAGAGAAAATTCAATTTAGAGAGATTTTGCCCGACCCAGAGTACATTCATATGTTTTCTTATCCAATGCAAATCAAACAATGACCAAGGGGATAATTTATCCTACTAAACCAATTGGATAGTGAATATCACACTAATTTGATGGGATTATTAATAACTTCACTATTAGTCTTTGAATCAAACATGGCCATAGAGATTGAACATGCCCAACTTGATAGTTAAGCATTGAAATGAAGAATTAGCCAATGGTTTGGTGAGAATATCACCCAGCTGATCATCAGACCGAACATAAAGAGTCACAAACGGCTTTCTTAGTAACAAATCCCAAATGAAGTGACAATCAACCCCAATATGATTCGCGAGTTCATGAAACATGGGATTGTTTGCAATAAAAACAGCGGCTTGATCATAGGAGTGGGAACAAAATGCTAAAATCCTGTAGGAGTGAACCCCTAACATCTCAAAAGCAATATAGGTCATGACACAATACTCAACCTCAACACTGGAGCGAGCAACAATAGTTTATTTCTTGTTATGCCAAGTAACAAGATTACCACCAACAAAGGTATGATATCTAGATATAGAATGATAGTCAGTTCGATTGCTAAGCCAATTAGCATCACTAAAGCCAGTGATAGACAAGGAGACAAATGATATAGCATACTGCGGCCCGGAGCACTCTTCAAGTAATGAAAGATATGACACATGACATCAAAATGAGGATGACGAGGAGCATGTGTAAACTGACTGACCAGACTCACAACATAAGTTATATCAGGATGAGTGACAGTGAGATAAATCAACTTCCAAACTAATTGACGATAATGACTAATATTAGGAAACAAGTCCTCGGTTTCACCATCATGTCTAACACATGAGTCCATTGGAGTTATCAATTAGACGGGCACCTAAGAGCCCTATCTCAAAGAGAAGATTATGTATATATTTGCATTGAGAGAGAAACAATCATCAGAAAGAACGAACGACCTTAATCTCAAGGAAATACCGAAGATGACCGCCCAGTCCTTAGTAAATTGTTGACCTAAATAATGTTTCAATTCAACAATACTAGTGGAAAGATAAGATCAAGTATATGTTTGCGTTGACAAAGAAACAGTCATCGAAAAGAACGAGCGACCTCAATCCTAAGGAAATACTGAAGATGATCACCAAAGTCCGTAGTATGAAATTGCTGACCTAAATAATGTTTCAAATCAACAATACTAGTGGGGTCACTGCTAGAATTAATAATGTCATCCACATACACAATCATGATAATAATCCTAGTAGAAGATTGATGAGCAAAGACAAAGTGATCAGAAGTGGAACCACGGAACCTATATGCCAGTATAACAACAATAAAGCAATTAAACCAAGAAAAAGGAGATTGTTTGAGGCCATACAAAGCCCTCCGCAATCGACAAACAAGATGCTCACTACCAGGATCAACATAGCTAGGCCATTGAGCGATATATCAAGTTGATATAAGGGCCAAGAATGATTGACGATGACAAAGAGAAGGATCTGAATGGAATTAAGACTAGCCACAAGGGAGAATATCTCTAGATAATCAACACCATGGGGGTGTAGGCTTTGGCCACTAGGCATACATAGTGTTATTAAAGGCAATAGGCGCACCAAGGCGCCAAGGTCTCCTGGGGCCTAGGCTCAAGGCGCAAGGCAAGGCGCATGCTTCACCGAAGTGAGGTGCACCTTATACGGGAAAAAATATATAATTTAATATAAGTAAATAATTTAGGGTTCAACATAAACAAAATGAAATGTTAAACATGTGTTTTTTGGAGATTAGGAATTAGGGCTAATTTTTCTTCTATCATTGATTTGGGGTTGAATGCCTAATGTATTGACATCTGTAATAAGAGTAGGGATCTTCTGTAGCTGCATCATATTAAATCAATGTTAGATTTTAAACAAAACAAATTAAAGTAACAATAAAAAAAGTCCTCAAAACGCAAGTTTTGGGCCAATCAGGTGCCTTATCACACTCGTCTGGCGTGGAACACTACAAGGCACAAACCTTGGGACTGGACGGGACTTGGGCCTAGGCGCGCCTTATCGAAGTCGCCTGGCCTGGAACACTACAAGGCGCAAAGCTTAGGCCCTTTAATGACACTGGGCATACATGAAGTCGTTCAATAGAACCATCAGGAAGATACTTAAAGGATAAATCCAACGATAGCCTACAGTAGGTTTCTCACAAGGGAGAGTAGTAAGCTCCCATGTTTGATTCCGATGAAGAGCTATTTTCTCATCCATAGCAAGTTTCCAACCAGGCATTGACATAGCCTGCTGATGAGAAGAGGGAATGGAAAGACAATACAAGCTACAGGCAAAGGAATGAAAGCCAAGGGAAACACAATCATAAGAAACAAAATGGGCAATTGGATGTTGAGTGCATGTATATTTACCTTGATGCAAAGCTATAGCTAAATCAACATATACTGAAATTGCAGGAACCTTTGACAAAAAAGATGAACCAGTTAGACCACAAGAAACATCACAACAATCTTGGGACTGTTGATAGACTTGTATAGGAGATGAAGTAGAGGGATGTAAGCATACAAACGGCAAGGAAGAGGATGAGGGCACAAAAGGCACTAGAAGTGTAGGAGTGGAAAAAGATGGGAACGACAACTCCCCCTCACAACAATAGATGAGATCAGCAGACAACTATTGACTGGAGGAAGAGAAAAAGGGGGCGGACTCAAGAAAGGTAACATTAGCATTGACAAACAACCGACATGACGTAGCATGATAACACTGATAGCGTTTCTGGGTATAGGAATAGCCTAAAAAGACACTTGCGAGCTTGCAGAGATAACTTATCCTAGCTAGGATCAAGGACATGGACAAAAGCCCCACAACTAAAAATATGAGGAGGAAGAGGAAATGGGGAACGATCGGGGTATAACTTAGAAAAGGGAGACTAATTATGTAAAACTACTGATGTCATGCAACTAATAAGAGAGTAGGCAGTAAGCACTGCGTCACCCCAAAAATGTTTGGTTATGTACGTTAAACAAAGAAAGTGAAAGCAACATCTAACAATTGATAGTGTTTCCATTCCGCAATACCATTTTATTGTGACATATAAGCACAACTAGTTTGATTAATAATACCACGATCAACACACACACACACACACACACACAAATTCATAATAGAATGCACATATTCTAAGCTATTATCGGATTGAACAATTTTAATAAGTTTATGAAATTGAGTAAAAATTTCATATAAAGCTTAGAAGTTATTTGAGGTAATTCAGACCGTTGTTGTAGTAAAACAACCAAGTTATTTGAGAGTAATCATCTACAAAAATAACAAAATAAAGAAATCTATTAATAGTTGGAGTACGAGGGGATCCCATATGTCCATAAAAACAACGCCCAATTAGTACAAATTAATGTGTGTTTAGGAGGGGAAAGATTGAGTATACACCTGATATTTGGCATAATGCACAAAGTGGTGGTCCCAAGACTTGAACCCATAACCTCAAGGTTATTAGGTTAAGTCTTAACCATTGAACCAGTGGTTACCCCTATCTCATATGTCCATGTGGACTACATTAAATTATGCTGACTCACGACTAACACTACATCTAGCTGAATGGAATTATCGTGACTCTTTCCAAACTGACAAGCTTCACACTTGAGTTTAAACACATGACTTAAAGCAAGAATTGCTAACGCTTGGCTAAAGACGGGTGATCCAAATAGAAATGCCACTGTAGTGGAGTCACAGTAGCACTCAAAACCGTAGAAGTACAATGAGAAGGGCTATTAGTGTCCAGATACTATAAGTCATACTTCTCATGCCCCGAACCAATCTCCCTCTTGGTTTGGAGGTCCTGCAAAACATGCAAAGTAAGAGAAAATGTTATAGAACAATGTAGGGCTTTAGTCAATTGACTAATAGACATCAAATTATAAGAAAATATAGGAATATAGACACTATAAGGTAACAAGAGACTAATAGGGTGAAGAGTAACCTGGACGATAATAGGTCGGGAGAACCCGCTAACAAGTACAATATTATGGGTAACAGGGTTTGAAGCATCAAAAAGAGATGAATTACCTAAAAATTATATGCGAACTAGCACTAGAATCTGAGTCAAGGTTGGATGGATTGAGCCATACATGCAATATTACTTGAACTAGCTAGAGTAGCTGTGGAGGATGAAGGAAGAGCAACGCGAAGAGAATGGACAAGCTCAGTAAGCTCGCTAATATGAGTAGTGAGTGCATCATGAGAATCAACCAAGGAGGCAAAAGAGTCAGAAGTGATGAATGGAGGGAGTGGAGCATCCATAACCCGATCTACATGATTAGGCCTATCATACTTCTATTAGCACTAGGGTTTAATATGACCTTAGGAACCGTAATGAGTACACTGCTGATCACCACAAGAAGCTAAAATACTACCTCGAGAATTCCTACTACGAGAGCCACCACCACAAGAACTAGTGGAAGAACTACTACCATAGGAATTAGGTTGACAAGAACTAGTTTGTGAGCCGCAGTGACGAGAGTTTCCATGAAAACCACCACAGGTATGACCATGGTCGCCATTGCTAGAAATCAATGAAAAAGAGAGTAAGGACTGTGATGTGAAACCAAATATTGCATGACTATTCTAAGAAAGAATGCAACAAGCGAGATCATGCATTAGCAGTGGAAGGTAAAGTATCACTGACCAAAATCTGATCTTTGAAACCCTGTAGATCAAAATCCAAGCTTGAAAGTAAGGATGCCATCATAAACTCCTCCTAATTTCACTTCTATTGAGCTAAATCAATAGTAAAGGGTCTGTGCAGCAATAATTGATTCCACAACTTCTTAAGGTTACTGTAATATCCAAATAGGGGACGACCAAACTGTCGAGTAGCAACATGGGGTTCTAAACTATGCCAAAGCCACCCTATAACAGCTCAATTCTCACTGGACCAATCATCATAGGCTTTATCATCTATAGCAGGAGGAAGTTCAATAAGAAAGCACAATTTCTTCTTGCCACGTAAAAAAGCCTTGATTGCGTGAGCCCAAGCTATATAGTTCAGACCATTTAATTTCTTGGCAGTAATAGATTTAGGCAATTCATTATCCTTAATTATTAGGGGTTTTGCCTCAATCATGACAACTAGACAAACAACAATAGCAGGGAACAAAGATGGGGCAATCTCACAAGCAATAAACAAGACCCAACTGAAAAAAAACTCAACAATGAGAGTACCCAGCAATTGAGAGCAACCTACCAAGAGTTCCAAGAGAAGGAAGGCAAGAAACAGGCTTCGACATAATCATTGTGAGGGATAGAAAACCACCAAATCAGTAACTAAAGACCAACATATCCGCAAATAAATCTCAATTTTAGCTTCCCATAACTATTTCGGCATCTATAAAAGGGATGGCAGTTAGAAGAAACCTTAGGTAAGGAGAAAAATTGCAAATTGAAATATTGGCACAAAAAAACTTGAAATCATTCAAAATTTGAAAACTCACATAAAATGCTATCAAAAATTCTACAAGAATACCACAAATCTCAGGAGGGAGAAACAAGGCTGAAGAGGCCAAATTGTCCATACGGACAATAATGTCAAATTGATGTCATCATATGGATGATGACATTAGCACATCGCCGGCACCTCGTGTCGATCTCTAGAGTCTACTGAACAATCGTTAGGGTAGTATCGATGCTCTGATACCAAGTTAGAATGTAAAATATGTGAAACTAGGGTTAGAGTTAGAGTGGAAGAGAAAAGAACGAAGGAGGAAAGAGAAAATTTTCAATCTTATACCTCTAAACTTCGATTCATTTCCTACCAAAATATATTTCAAAGCATTTCAAGCATCAATGAAGCTATTTGCAACTTCAAGCACTCAAACATGGAACAAACATATGCATACGTCATGCAATGACACTAGAGGTGTTACACACCCACTTATCTCAAAATTACTAACATTAGTTCTAGTCCTTGACATGTCCACAAATCAAGGAGAACACAACAACAATGTAGATTGGCAGAGAAAATAGTCAGCACTACCAGTTGGCCAAAACCTAACTTCACAGTCCAAACACACTTCGAGCAGAAATCAATCCAAAAATAGGAGAAGACCAGGCCAAAAAACACAGTGCCAAGAACCCTTACAGAAGGCCTCTAGAACCGTCTTGGGCTCCAGGTCAACACCCAAGAATAAGGGCCGATGCAATCAATTCCAAAACCTCCTCCAACAAGTAGATTGAAAAAAAGAACTGAAAATTGCAAAAAAACATTTGAGAAATTGAAAAACCTACCAAATAGCTTCAAAAATTGCCACAAATATCACCATGACAAACCGAATCAAATAGTTTAGATTGCTATCAATGACATCAGGTTCGTGTTGACATCAACATGACATCAACCCTCCATTGATGATGCCAACAGTGCGATTGGCTCCTATTTGTTATTCCTTTGACGATGTTATGATAATGTCTCACAAGTTTTAGTGTGCAGGAAGTCGTTTGAACTAGATCGAACGCTCTGATACCAAGTTACTGAAAGTGATGAAAAGAGAAGATGGAGAAAGAGAAAGTTTAATACAAAAATTTGGTGTTTAGAATGAGTTACTCTCGTCATCCCTAGACCCATGTAAATATATTGAAGTCTGACTAATTGCAAGAACTTTTGAAATAACGTGAACTCTAATAGTTACCTAGGATATGGAAACATTTCAGCTGTTTCGATAGAAAAAAACTTTTGTTCCTTGGGGATGAGAGATGGGCCGTTACACTTATCTGTTAAAAACCTGTGTGGAATCTATTAGCTAACCTTGGCATTTTCTCTGTCATTATTGCTTATTTTGTTTGAAATCTATGTGAGTTGTATCTAATTATTCTAATTATTTCCCCTTGCCAGGAATCTGCTAGTGCCGATGCTGAGGAGGAAGTCCTTGATATTAGTGCTAAGAGTGCTGTAGTTTTCGTCATATCAGCATCCACATTTCTGGTGCTACTTTATCTGTTTATGTCATCTTGGTTTGTCTGGCTGCTGGTTGCAGTTTTCTGTCTTGGTGGTATCGAGGTATTAACCTTTCTTCTGATTATTTTTTTAGTTTGTTGCCGCATTAGAATAGTGATTGTTCACTAACAGGCCTGAACACTCAACATGCTATGCAAGTTGTCATGGCTTGATCCTTTTATGGTTGATGTTGCACAACTCTCTCTGTCACACTTTTGAATGTATTTGTGCCTTTTGTTTCCCTGAATTCAATGATTTAATGTGTAAATTTATATACGGAAAGTGTAGAGTCATAAAATACACTTGCTTTATTTATTAAGAAATGGTTTCAGTTTTATAATATTTGGGACTATTATTTTGTTTTGTTATATAGATAATTTATAAATATATCTCCATTTCTCTCTAGATTATCATTCTTTATATATATAATTATAATCTTAGATTATACTTTCATCCCATCCATCATTTGACAAGACAGAGTAGATAAAGGTGATAGGGTGATAGTTTTATTTTTTGCATCTCATTGTCGCAGTTAGGATAATGAGGCTGTATCTGAGTTTTATTGAATATCACATAAATAAGTTTTATTTTTTTACAAGTGACTCGATGCAGGGGTGACGATTCACTGCAGTCTTCGTCCAATTGTGGACTTCTCACCTGAACTTAAAAAAAATCTACTTGCAAACCAAGTACAACAGATGTTACATCACCTATTTATAGACTACAACTAATAGGACACTTAACCCACTAATCCAGCATTTACTTACAAACTCATGACATGCAAGAATAAGACTCATTTTGACAATAAAGGCATTTATTTTATGACATTCTGTTTCTCATTTTGAGTAATTCTGTGCTCTGCGTTCCAAATCTTCATTGCAGTTTTTAGAAATAAATAACCAGTGCTGAATTTTGGTTTATAGAATGCAACAACCAAGACATAACTGTGGAATTATCGGCCTCTCACTACTCAAATAAAAATCATTCCCTGGTGGTTCTTTAATTCTTCCATTTAGATGACCCATTGTCCTTTTACTCTTAGTATAGAGCATTGCAGACTGAGAGCAAGCTAGATAGTTATGTCCATCCAATTCCATAGTTGTGGCTGAAAGCAAAGGTGAATAATTCTTGTATTAACAAAAATAATTAGAGATTACATGCACTAAAACGAGCAAAAGTGTGTGTCTTGGTGAAGAAGTTGGTGAACTGCAATGAGGAAGAAACAAGAAGGGGGATAATGTTGGAATGTGTCCCACATCGTTTGGAATTGTCCTATCTGCTAGTTATAAGGTTTTAGTTTTCCTCTCCTTAATACCTAAGTTTTAAGGAGAAGTGTGGGTTGAGCTTTTCAATTTGGTATCAAAGCTTGGTTGGGCTTGTGATTGATGTGTCGTTTATCCAGCTAGTGTATGTTGTGGTCCAAGAAGGTGTGTTGGAATGTGTCCTACTGAAAGTTTTTCTGAATGATCTGTATATTCACTTGTGTTCTAATACAAAGAATACATCTGATTATATAGTAATCCTAACCCTAAGACTAAAAAAGGAAAAGAAAACGCTACCATATATATACACCTATACAATCTCTCAGAATATATGCACAACATATACTACCATATATATAAACCTAACCTAATATTCTCACACCCCTTGCTCAAATTCAAGGTGTTTTAATTTGCCAAGAAGCAACTGAAACCGAGCAGTGGTGTGAGTTTTGGTAAAAAAGTCAGCAAGTTGCAAAGTCGAAGGGATGAAAAGAAGCGAAATAGGGCCAGACTGCAAATGCTGACGGACAAAGTGACAATTAATCTCAATGTGCTTTGTTCGCTCATAGAAGACAGTGTTATAGGCAATCTGAATCGCACTACGGTTATCACAATAGAGGGAGGTCGGAGAAGATTGAGGGATGCCTAAGTCAAAGAGAAGACAACGAAGCCAAACAACTTCAGCAGTAGCGTGAGCCATAGCATGGTACTCAGCTTCGGCAGTAGAACGAGCAACAACAGTTTGTTTCTTGCTTTTTCAAGAAATCAAGGAATTGCCAAGAAACATACAAAAACCGGAAGTGGACTTACGATCTGTAACATCACCAGCCCAATCAACATCAGCATAGGCAACTAAAGCCAAGAAAGAAGTAGAGGACAACAACAATCTTTGGAAGATAGTACCATGAAGATAGTGAAGAATCGGAACCAAAGCAGCCCAATGTGTAGAACGAGGAGCAGAAACGAATTAACTAACCACATGAACAACATAAGCAAGATCAGGACGAGTAACTGTCAGATAGACTAAGCAACCCACGAGCTCTCGATATAAAGTAGGATCAAGCAGAAGAATACCATCAGTAGTGTTAAGTTTCACATTAAGCTCAATGTGGGTATCAGCAATCTTAGCGTCAATAAGACGAGTACGGTGGATAACTTCATTAGCATACTTGGCCTGAGACAGAAAGTAGCCATTGGGAGAAAAAGCCACTGGGAGAAAAAGCCACCTCAATACTAAGAAAATACCACAATGGGCCCAAATCCTTCATTTCGAAGGTGTGGAAGAGATACTGCTTGACCTTAGAGATAGCAGAAGAATCTGAGCCAGTAATAATTATATCATCCACATACAGTAATAAGGCAACAAACCTAGCAGAGGTGTGGAGGAGAAACAAAGCAAAGTCCTGGGCAGAATGATGAAACCCAAGCTCAGTAACAACAGTCTGAAAGCGATCATACAAAGCACGAGGAAATTGCTTCAGACCATACAGAGCATGCCGAAGACGACAAACCTGTCCAGAAGAATGGTGAAGGCCAGGGGGAGGACGCATGTAAACCTCTTTAGCGAGATGACCATTAAGAAAAGCATTCTTAACATCCATCTGATAAAGAAGCCAATAACAAACAGCAGCGACAGATATCAAAGTACGGATAGTAGTAATCTTGGCAACAGGGGCAAAGGTCTCCTCATAATCAATATCATACTCTTGTCAAAAACCCTTAGCAACTAGGCGAGTTTGGTAGCGCTCAAGAGAACCATCAGAATGAATGTTAATTTTGTAAATCCATTTGCAACCAACCAGATTCTTACCAGCAGGCAAAGGAACCAACTCCCAAGTACTAGTTTTTTGCAAAGCAGACAACTCATCCTCCATAGCTTGAATCCAATGAGGATCCTGACAGGCCACCTTGTCAGACTGAGGTTCTGAAAAAGAGTGTATAGTAGACAAAAATGTACAGTAGGAAGGAGAAAAACATGTTTTAGCAAAATCAAGTTTAACTACTTATTTATAGATGCAAAAGGGATGCAAAGGGGATACTTACGGTCAGCAAGATCAGAGTCGTCAGAAGCAGGACAATCAGTAGTAGGGGCAAAGACAATTGGTGGAGGGAGAGCCTTGCGACGAGAATAGATTAATAATGGAGGGGGAGAAGGAGCCGGCAGGAGAGAAGGTGGAGAGGATGTAACAGACTCATGGGGAACAGTGGAGAAGGACTCAGCAGGAGGGGGGTTAGGAGGAGAAGAGGGAACAAACTCATAGGGAATTGTAGAGATGCACTCATTAGGAGGGACATCAGAAGGAAATTGATTAATGTGAACCAAATCCTCTGTAGAAACTGGAGCAATGAGAGGCGAAAGTTGAAAGTAAGCTAGATGTTCCAAAAAGGCAACATAGTGGGAGACATAAAGGATAGACCGGGCGCTAAGTTTTGTCCTATCTTTCCTTCCGGGGAAGAAGGACAAAACACGTAGACCCAAAACATAAAGGTGAAAGTAATTGGGAAGTTGGGAAAACAGAACTTCATAAGGAGAACGACTAAATATTAAGGGGGTAGGCATACGGTTGAGAAGAAAAGTAGCAGTAAGAATGGCTTCCCCCCAAAAGGGAGCCAGAACGAAGATAGAAATGAGGGATCTAGCTGTCTCAAGAAGATGACAGTGTTTTCGCTTAGCACGACCATTTTGGGTAGGTGTATCAGTACAGGAAATTTGGTGAATGGTACCTAAATTGGCCAGATACTCACAGAACTCAGTTTTAAAATATTCCCACCCAAGTTAGACTGTAACAATTTAATGGTAACCCCAAGCTGTGTAGTAATCATAGACTGAAAGGTACAATATATTTGGTAGAAGTCAAATTTGTGAGTCATAAGATATACCCAAGCATAGCAGGAGCAATCATTAACAAAAGACACGTAATAGGCAGAACCTCTTTTAGTGAGAACAGAAAAAGGTCCCCAAACATCAGTATGCACAAGAGAAAAAGGAGAAACAGAAATAGAAACACTTTTATTAAATGGTAAAGCGGACATTTTAGCAAGTTTACACTCCCGACATTCATCAATTTGACTGAGAAAAACTTTACCCAACACTCTTGACTGAGCTAAAGACTGTAAGCGGTCAACAGACAAATGACCTAGGCGAGAATGTCATAAATAAAACTGACTTGACTGAGAATCTAACTGAAATGAGAAAAGTGCAACTAGAGAGGTGGATAGAGGAAAATGTAAGTTTTCTACCACATAGAGATCTCCAACTCTACGGTCAGTCCCAATCTGCTACTTAGACACCCGATCCTGCACACAACAGACAGAAAAAGAAAAAATAACATCAAAACTAGAAGCATCAAGTTGACTGATACATAATAAACTGACTGATAGTTGAGATATGGCAGAAGGTAAGACAGACCTAATAGACAGAACTAACATACCAGACCCATTAGCAGTATTAATAGTAATAGGAGAGGAAGGGGGAATACAATTTTGAAGTAAGGAAGGGTGAGGAGTCATCTAATGAGAAGCAGTAGAGTCAAAAAGCCAAACAGAAGAAGATATACTTAAAGAGGACCCAAGCAAACCTGCATGAAGAGACATAAGAGCAGAGGCTAATGGAAATGGCTGAGAGGTAGACAAGAGGTGCTGAAGCTGAGCAATCTGGGCACTAAAAGAAGCCAAGTCAAGATCTAGAGCCGGAGTAGATGCAGTATAAGCGGTAAGAGGCCGGAAGTTATTTTGAGTAAGAGCTCGGGACTGTGACTGAGGCTGTTGAGAAGACGCACAACCCTTCTTGGGATAGTTGTACTTCCCATGGTCCTTCTGATGGCAGAAAGCACACATCAAAAGCCAGGGGCCCTTTCTTGGGCTTTGTAGTGGCCGGAAGCTGATGAGGAGGCGGGGTCGACAGTAGTGGAGGTTGGCCAGGAGCCAAGAAGACAAATGAAGACAGAGTCTGACTGGCCGTCTTAAGACAGGTTTCCTCGGAGAGGAGCTCACGAACAATAGGATCCACAGAAGGAAAAGGAGACTGGTAAAGAATGCCACCACAGATAGCCTTATACTAAGGGAAGAGAGCCGTTAGGAACTGCACTAATCGACCCTACTCCCATTAATATAAGCATTTAGAACCTTAAGGCTAGATGGTTCCATAAGAGCCAACTGATCCCAGAGACCTGTCATCTCAATATAGAAGTCCTGAATAGACTGATCTCGTTGATGAGCACCCTGAATAGCTGTTTCCAACTCATACCGCTTGGCAAAGTTCTGCTGATAAACACTCTGTAAATAATTCTATACCTCCTTGGCAATAGTGTATTTAGAAAACATCATCCCAATACCGTCATCCACAGAATTATGAAACCATGTTAGGATTTGGGCATTATCACAATCCCAAGTATCACAAGAAGTCAGATATCCTTCTTTCTTCGGATCCGATGGATGAGAAAAAGAATCGGAAACATAACCCCATTTTTTCTAACCAAGAAGAAAATTCTTCATAACACTGGCCCAATAAGCATAATTGGAACTAGTGAGTTTTACAACTGATAGCTTAGATTTTGGTGTTCGACATTTTAATAAACCAGGGATGGATTAAAGTGTAATAAACCACAAGCTAAGGGGTCACACTGTTATAAATAAAAGTCTCCCAAAACACACATAAGAGAAGAACAGGACTAGAATCAGAGCATAAGAGATGAGTGGAGAGAGAAAGAACCAGGGACACGAACTAGAATCAGAAGTCGCGACGCTGATGTGGCAGAGAAGGAGTCGCAATGAACCAAGAGAGTCGAACCAGATGACCAGATGAAGTAGACGTACCAGACCCAACTTAGATGGGTTGATTCAAACCAGTGGTATCATGAATCGACGATGATCGATCGCAATTTGTAGCAGATGGGTCGCTGTAGAAATTTAATGTATAAAGAGAAATGATTGTATTATTTATTGATGTATGTTATCTATTACAAATGGTGAGGGGCTCCTTATATAGGAGATGTAGTGGAGTAGGTGGAGTAGGTGGTAGTGGTAGGTGTGTAGTAGGTGGTGGTAGGTGTAGTAGGTGAAGTAGGTGATGGTAGGTTTTAACAGCCCCCCGCAAACTCAAGGGGGATAGGAACTAACCAACTTGAGTTTGGAGAGAGTAACAAAACAAGAAAATAATCTGAAAAATAAAAAATGGATAGGAGACACTGTATGGTCGTGTCAGACCGTTGTAGAAGACTGTATGGTTATGGCAGACCGATGTAGAAGACACTGGCTCGTGTCAGACCGATGTAGAAGACAGTTTATGGGGTCATGTCGGACCGGTGTAGCAGACAATGTTGTGACAGTTGTTGTGACAGTTTACGGAGTCTTGCTGGACCCTTGTAGAAACTAACCGGAATCAATGTCGGGACAGTTTACAGAGTCTTGTCGAACCCATAATCCAAGCCAGAAATTAATCAAAGGTAACATTTAAACAAAATAAATAAATAAAAACAAAAAATTAAGGGGCGACTGATATCATTCAACTTCCACCTTCCACATTAGAATCTTTTTAGACAATGGCATTAAAAGGAATGAAACTTTTAATGGCAGGTTCAATGCTTTCAAAAGCTAAAGCATTTTGCAAGCCATTTAAACTCCCTAAAAAACATGGCATAACCCTCTTGAAACAGATGGCCTGCGCCTTTTGGTTGTTTAACTTTTATTTATGCATGCATTCATAATATTATGTGTATATAATGTGTGAGAATAAAAAAAAGAAACAAAATAAAAGATAGAAAAATAATAATAAAACAAAACAGGTTTTAAAAACTCAACAGCATGCTAGAAAAGTTAACAAAGAAAAACACTAATATTCTATCATTTTTTAAATGCAAATTCCATCAATAACTAATTTTATTTTTAAATGGTAAATCGATTTGCACAAATAGGGATATTTTAATAAAATAAAACAAAACAATAAAAATAAAAAATAATAACTTCTTGTTGAATTCAAAAGTAACCAATGATTAATGTTGGCCACTTGAAAATTAAAGAAAAAAAAAATCTAAAAAATCAGTCATGACATGTAGGTTTCATGAACCGACGGAAAGAAAACCACAAAAGCTGCACCTAGCGTCCCAGCTTGGCTTTAGTTATATGCTCAATAAAACCCTTGCTTGGTTTTGTAAGCCTTGAGGCATTTTAGAACCATCTTAACTTCAGGAAAGCCTTAAAAAAGTCCTACAGATTAATATGCCTTTAGCATTTCCATTGATCTTTAATAAATCAAATGAAAGATGTAATCCAAAATTGCAGTAACACTTACATCTGTTTTCTCTCTTGTTCCTTCTGATGGGTATATATCATGTATCCATTCAATTTCAGCCACTCGATACCTTCATATATCATGGGGGACCAAAACAAAAGGCCAAATTTATAAATCAGACAAATGAATCAAAGTCATCTGAAAAACATCGGTGTGATTTTTTTTTTTGGTGGAATATAAAAAATAATAATAAGATAATGGAAAAAGGGTGATGCTCACTAACGAGTTGTAGAATAAGGAAATATTGATGAAAAAGAAAGATAGAAAAAATAAAATAAAATAAAAGTAGGGATAAGGAAAATATATTATAATAAAAAAATATAGATATATATATATTAAAATAAAAGAAAAGTGTGAAATAATCGTGGGTGGTGGATGTGTGATAGATGAGAAAAAGAGCGTGGGTTCATATCCCACAGCTGTCACCAACACAAACCTGCAACAAGAAGAATCTTTTGTTGCTTTTCTTATGCATCTTTTGTCTACACACTCTGAGTCTCACTGCAGGTTCAAATTCAGGAGATTGGTTGAACCATGGCGGTGATATATATAACCAGAGACATGCCCATGGAGAATCCAAGATCAGCCCATCAACTGTTTCAAACCTAAGTCTCAAGTGGGAATTCAAAACAGGGAAAGACATAAGTGCAACACCTGCAATATTCAACGGCACGCTCGTTTTCTCAAAAATCTGTATCTTCTTGCAACAAATCGAAGCGCTATCCAGGGCACCGGACATGGCTGCCCAAGAAATTGCAGAGTTACAAGCAAATGTAAGCTTAAAAACAGAGCCTTGAACTTCATCATCAGAAACCTCTTGAATCAAAATCGCCGGCTGATCATCCACGGAAGCTTGCTCTATCAATTTGATATGCATAAACACATCTTTCATATCAAATCCAGCCTGTGCATAGCTGAGTGGTAATGAATCGTAGTGTTTGCGGATGTTGGAGACGAGCTTCTCTGGAAGCTGACTACCGGGATAGAGTTGAGTCAAGTTCCTCACAACGCTGCCCCAGACGACTTTCCGGCAGCTCTCGATCCGAGACTGCGGCGGCGGAGGCGAGTCACGAGCCGAGTCGAGATTGAGTGAGTTCTTGAGCGAGGCGATGGCCTCGGAAACGTTGCGGCTCAGCCTCTGAAACCGCTTTTGCATCGCCGACGACTCCTTGACGCCGGCGATAGCGGCGGCGGTGGCGGAGGAAGAGGAGGAGGAGGACGACGACGATGAGGGTGTAGACGAAGTGTTCGACGAAAGTCCCAACCGAGTGGGTCTTGTTGTTGAGCATACAGTGGTGGTGCAAAGGCAAGGCTTTTGCTCCTTGATCTTAAAGCAGCACAGCTTTGATGGAGGTGTGTTTGATGTGATTGCACCCACGCAATAGCTCAGCTCTGTTGGGTTGCATGTCACTGCCATGGAATAGGTTGAGGTCCGGCGGGCAGCTAAGGTAGGTGAGGTTGCCGCCCGCCGGGAAAGCGAAAATACTAGGTTCTAAACCTGCTCTGATACCATGTAGAAATTTAATGTATAAAGAGAAATGATTGTATTATTTATTGATGTATGTTATCTATTACAAATGGTGAGGGGCTCCTTATATAGGAGATGTAGTGGAGTAGGTGGAGTAGGTGGTAGTGGTAGGTGTGTAGTAGGTGGTAGTAGGTGGTGGTAGGTGTAGTAGGTGGAGTAGGTGATGGTAGGTTTTAACAGTCGCGCTAAGGAGTCACGATTGGGCCAAGAGGCAAAGAGCTCTGGGTCGACTTCGAATAGTCTTCGAACCAAGAGAAACCTTTGAGTCAGATGAAGAACCAGATGGAGCAAACCCACTATGGCTGCTAGGGTTTCGAATCTTCAAGCTAGGGTTTCAAACCAAGCTCTGATACCATGAAAGTTTTTCTGAATGATCTGTATATTCAACTTGTGTTCTAATACAAAGATTACATCTTATTATATAGTAATCCTAACCCTAAGATTAAAAAGGAAAGGAAAACACTACCATATATAAACACCTATACAATCTCTCAGAATATATACACAGTATACACTACCATATATATAAATCTAATCTAATATTCTCACACCCACATTGCTTGGAGTTGCCCCATCTATGCTAGTTATAAGGCTTTAGTTTTCTTCTCCTTAATACCTGGGTTTTAAGGAGTGTGGGCTAGGCTTTAGATAAAGAAATAAAGTTAGTGATCTGAAACAATCCCAAAAGTTTTGTCTAATATATGTTCTTAAATGTTACCTTAGGGGGGGGGGAAAAAAATCAAACATTATAAACTAAAATCTAAGGTGAGTTAAGTTTTGACAACACAAAAATATCAAAAATGGGTCATAATGCTTGAAGAAATGTTTTGCTACATAAAAAAAATAAAAATAAAAATAAAAATAAAAACAACAACAATGCCCAATTAATACACATCAATGTGTGTTTGGGAGGGGAAAGATTGAATACACACCTAACCTTTGACATAATGTACAAAGTGGTTGCCCTGAGACTTGAACCCATAACCTCAAGGTTATGAGGCCAAGGTTTTATAACCTTGAAGCCAAGGTGTTTTTTGCTACATGAAAAAAAAAAAATTTTATTTGATGCCTAATAGTTAAAAGAAAATTACTCTAGAAATACCTTAAATTCTTAAGTGTAATATATACAAATCTACCCCTATCACACCACATTTTAGCACATGTGGTGTACCATGTTCCCATTTCCATTCTCGTTCCCGTTCTATGTTCCGGAATGATCCACGTTCCAGGTAACATCGGTCCTTACTCAGCAACTAATGCAAGGAATAAGCTCAGCAAGATTGATGACAACAATGTATGGCAGTTATAGCTGAAGCTACATGCCAAAAACTCCAGAAGGCTCATCTCAATGCAATTATTATTATTATTTTTCCCTTCAAAATCACCAAAAGGCACCCAGTGCAGGATGATGTTTAGGTATTACTGAGCTTCTACGTCTTTGTCCTGTTTGTTAAAACTTCAAGAATGAACATATCCATTCATTTGTGGCACCTAATAAATATTTTTTTCCCTAAATTGTTGCGGCAACAAATATGAAGGAAACAGTTTTGGTTGATTTTCTGTCCATTTGAAATAAATATAGTTGGCTAATAGCAAATATGCCTATTGGTTGAATTCTGTTCTTGCTCATTGATTTATTTGTTTTTAACAGGGAATGCATGCTTGCATATTATCTCTGGTTTTAAGGTATACTTCAAATCCAATTTTATTTGTGACTAATCTTACCTTCATATTTTATGCTTAATTACTTTGCGTCTCCTGTTTGTTGTTATGCTTAATTTGTTGTACAGGAAAGGGAGAAACTGTGGGCAGAAGAAAGTGAAATTGCCTCTTCTGGGGGAGATGTCAGTTCTTTCTCTTGCAGTCGTAGTTTTTTGCTTCGTATTTGCTTTTCTTTGGGCTATAAACAGGAAGGCTTCATATTCATGGGTTGGTCAAGACATTCTTGTAAGTTTTGTCTGTTATTCCTGTTTTTCCAGAGTGTAGCTCTTTCAGACATGGTCTTGTGGTGTACTAATTGCAATTTTTTAGATGGACACCTCTTGAAGTTTATTGTGTTAAATGGTGACTGTACTTGGAAATAGTTAATGGATGTTTCTACTCTAAACCTTTCAAAACTCTCTTTAACGAAGCATATGATTCTTCACTCCTACGAGTGAATGCATTTTCCTTGTAATGTGAAAGTGGTCCAACAGAGAGAGAAAGGGGGATGGGGGTATGAATAAGACCAAATTGGTTTGATCAAGTTTCATCCTTGATAGTAACTCCTCTTACCAACTCTATTTATTGTCAGTTATTCCTTGGATATTTTGCCTTACTCAAGAACTCACCAAAGCTTGTAATTGAGTGTACAATTTTTGTCAGTCATTCCATGTAGAAATACAAGTGAGGGCAAGTATTTAAAGTAAGCTCAAAAATGGAGTTATCACAGCACGAAGTATATAAACATTAATCTATTCATTCACACAAATGAACACAATATCTAGTGGTTCGGCCACTCCTTGTGACCTACATCCACTCTTCTCCAACTCCCTTGGTTGAAGGCTCCAATTTATTATCTAAAGGGTTTCCGAGAATACCCCAATAATTGATGACTTACAATGGGCAAGTCACTACCCACCTAATGTCTTCTCACAAGGACCACTAGAATTTGTGAAGGTTTCCCCCTAGGCTAACCTACAACCCACTAAACTACCTAATGTTGCCTTAAGGCCAAAACTAGGATTTGCTCTGGGTTTTTCTCCAAAGGTTCAAGTAGAACCCTCTACACTCGAGTCACTAGGTTTTTCACACAAAACAAAAGTATCACCTTGAACCTACTACACCCAAGACACTAGGTTTTGTACGTAAAGGATCACCTAAAACCTACTTCACCCAAGTCACTAGATTTTACACTCAAAGGATCACCTAGAACCTACTAGCTGGTTTTGTCCACTTGGGTCACCATACCAATGGATTCACTTGGGGATTTTCTCACACCTCACAAAGGGTTTAAGGATCATCCACAACCTTTACACAATCCTTCACAAATGGTTTCAAGAATCACCCACAACCTTTCACCCATCTTAGCAACTACTTTTGGGTATTCCCTAGCCTAACCCTCAACATTTCCAACAACCCCCAATTTTCATAATTACAAATTCTGTACATATTGAAATATTGTAGTCAATGGAAATTGTTTCTAAAGGTGGGTGAATAGGCCAATTCAAGACAAATTAAACCAAATCAAACCAAATTAAGCTTTGCATCCTAATCAAGTAGGGTTGGCTACATGAATTATTTTTTGCCATTTTGCTCTATTGAGTGCTACATGCTTAATAAATAAATTCATAAGTGCATGGAGAAAGCATAAACACATGTCAGTTTATGTCTTCCCCTCCCACGACATTTCCATATATGGTGATCATATCACTCTTCCTAACTGTTGCATCTATATGTCTTCGTTGTATATGATTAAAAAAACCTTCATTCTAATTCTATCTTTTCCAGTCTTACCACATATTTATCTAAGCATTCCCATCCTTTTATCAACGTGGTGGTATTTAGTTTAATTTCTAATTCCATCTTTTCTAGTCTAATCAAACATCCATCTAAGCTTTTTCATCTCAGCTACACTTATTTTATAAATGTATTGTTTTTCAATTGCCTAACATTTTGTCTCGTAAAGCATCATTGGCCTTGTAGTTCTAAAACTTTCCTTTCAATATTGTTGGTACTCATCGATCACATAATACGTCAAACACAATTCTCTACTTGAGCCAACCTACTTTAATTCCATAGATCACATCATCTACTTATCAAATCTAGGTAACAAAAATATTCACTCTTTGTTATCTCCTGTTTTTTTTTTTCCTTATTATTTTTACTACTAGCACTAAAGTAACATTCTATATATTTACTTTTATTTCTACTAATTTTAAACCTTCGGACTTAAGCGTTCCTCTCCAAATTTCTAATATTGTATTAATTCTTTTCTTAGTTTTATCTAGTAAAACTATATCATCTACGAACAACATACACCATGGATATTATCCCGAAGGTGTTTAGTTTATTCATCCATGATTAAAGCATATAGGTAAGGACTCAATGTTGACCCTTGATGTAATCCTACAATGATTAGGAATTCATTAATTTCACCTTCAGGTGATCTAATTTTAGTGACAACCCCATCGTACATGGCTTTTATCACATCAATATACCATTTGGTATATGTTTCTTACAAGCGTAAGTAACAGTGTTTACATTTATAAAAATAAAATAAAATAAAATTGGATGGGATCATCATGCTATAAGAAGCACTGAAACCTATATGGATGAGATGTGTGTGTCGGACACGACACTTTGTGGACACTTATAAAAGCATATCCGACACTTTTTCAACGTGTCTTAATTAAATTTTTCAATGCATAATGTTGGACACTTTACAAACATTTCAGCAACAATTTTTGAATCCTTTGAACACAACCTATGGATGAATCTCTTCATAGTAACAATGTTTTGCATTCTTTGGAATGCTTGTGCACCTTGAATATGTTTTGAAACTTTTATAAGATGAATACATTGTGTATTTTACTATTCTACAATTGTTTTGCACTCTTTAGAATGCAATTGTTACATGAATAATATATTGATGTTTAAGTAATGGAATATATGATTTTTGCTTTATTTTAAATTTTAATTAGTGTTATTTTACCTTTTTCTTTCATTACCTTTTTATAAACTATTCATATTCATATATATATATATATGACATATAATAAAATTTTGAAAATAGGGGTGACCATGGTTCAATAGTAAAACCTTAGCCTAATAACCTTGAGGTTATGAGTTCAAGTCTTGGGGCAATCACTCTGTGTACTATGCCAAAAGTTAAGTGTGTACCCAATCTTTTCCCTCCCAAACACACATTAATGTGTACTAATATGGTGTTGTTTTTTTATAATAAAATTTTAACATATCCGTATCATGTCCTACATGTTTTGAAATTTTTCATGTCAGTGTATCCATGTGTCACATGTCCATGTTTGTGCTACTTAGTGTAAATCTCATTTTTCTTTTGCTTAGCTTTATTTATTGGTAATTTTGCATGATGTGTTGCATATGGAGTGATTATGTATTGTTATTAAATTTAGCTTGAAGGTATTTAGCTTGTTAAATGACTTTTTTGTTGACAGGGTATCTGCTTGATGATAAGGGTCTTGCAGATTGCTCGACTACCTAATATAAAGGTAGATCAATAATCTCTAATATTTCATTGTTAGAATTTTAAATCCATCAGCTGATACAATTAACTTTATTCAGGTTGCGACGGTACTTCTTTGTTGTGCATTTCTTTATGACATCTTTTGGGTCTTCCTGTCGCCATATATATTCCACGACAGTGTTATGATTGCGGTAAGTGTTAATACTCGTTCTTTGCATCTTTTTTCATGTATTGTTAAGGTGTGAGTTTTTCTTATATATAGACAAAAGATTTTTTGCTTATGTATATACGAAAGATGCTTTTTATACAAAGCGAAGTATGGGCATCCCTTTACGATAATACACAAAAGGGAATTTACAACAAACATGGGAATAGTGAGGTCCAACACTTGGTTTGATATGCCCCATTTCTAGCAAACTGGTTCAGATCATTGCCTGGATAAATTTGAGATGAGGAGCTTTAAAACACACATCTCATTCAATCTCTTGCATAACTTGTTTTGGTGATATTTGGCTTCAGCTAAAAGCTGTGTTATTGTGTTCCTGCCACATGTAACAAGCTGTTGCTGCCCACGCTAGTTTCTTGATTATATTGGTCAAATTTTTCCAGTAAATTTCCAATGAGCCAGCTGATTTTCTTTCCTTCAGCTGTGTGGCAGCTTTCTAATTCCACAAAGATTATAAAATACCCTCCCAACTGATCTAGGCTATGAAAAAGCAATAAACAAATTCTACATGGTTTTATTCTCTATTGCACAGATTATAGGTTATCATGCCCAATTATTTTAGCTTTAGCCAAGTTGTAAATCCTTCATTGATGGTTATCGACCTTATGAAACTATGGCATGGAGTAAATTTTGAAAACCGGATGACTTTATGTGGTCTTACCTTCTAGTAAGCCTTTTTTAATAGCATTCCTATTAGTTGAAGCCTAGTACATGTGGTTGGGATATATCATATATGACTCGAAATATATTGGAGTAGAATTGAATATTTCTCCCCCAGTTCTCGTGAAGCGGTGATGGCAGTAGTAGGGTGGTGGTGGGGTGGTGGCAAGGATGGTGGTGGTGGCGGCGATAGTAGGGTGGTGTTGGTATTGGGCAGTAGTCATAGGTGATGGTGGTAGGGTGGTGGAACAAGGGTGGCAATGGCAGTAAAAGATGATGGTAGTAGCCAACTTACTAATAGACACTTGTTATAGGATGATTCCATGGTGAAATGGAATGTCTATTCCTTAGCTTGGAAGAAGAGATAGGTATTCCTACCTACATAAGGTGTACCAAACACGAGAAAGGGAATGCAAAGCTAGAATGGGCATTTCATTCCAGCCCATTATTCCGTACCAAACATGCTCTGATAAATGTGAATAGTTGCTTGTGATACAAAGGTAACAAACGAATAAAATATTATTGATTGAATAATTAGCAAAGGCTAAAGTACAATGTAAATAGGTAAATAACCAAAACCCTAAAGTCCTAATTACAGATAATAGGACTAAACTACCATTAAGTGAAAGATAAAATAACAATAGCATAAAATGCATATTTCACACCCTTCCTCAACTTAAAGATCACGCGTAGAAAGCATGGAAAGTTGGCTAAAAAAGAAATGAAAGCAGGCAGTAGTATGAGTCTTTGTAAAGAAGTCGGCTAACTGGAAAGAGGAGGGAACAAAGGAGAGAGTAAGAGTGGCGGCTTGAAGGTGCTTCTGAATAAAGTGACAATCTATTTCAATGTATTTTCACGTGTTCATGGAAAATTGAGTTGTGGGCAGTCTGAACAACACTTTGATTGTCACAATATAACGAAGTTCGGGAAGAAAGAGAAACAACCATATTAGAAAGAAGCCAGCGAAGCCAAACTATTTCAGAAATAGCATGACCCATGGCACGATACTCAGCTTCAGCAATGGAGCAAGCAACAGCAGATTGCTTCTTACTTTTTCAAGAGATGAGAGAATCTCCAAGGAAAGAAACACCATCAAAAGCAGAAAACTTAGCATAGAATTCAATAAGAGTGCCCACAGTCTTGTCATCAGTGAGATTGGCACGAGAAAAAGATATCGCTAGTGTATTTAGTTTGAGAGAGAAGATACCCCTAGTAGGAGAAGAGACAACCTCAATGCCAAGAAAATACTGAAGGGGCGCCAAATATTTAATTTCAAATTTTTGAAAAAGTTAGTACTTGACCTCCTGAATTTATTTATTTTTTGATAAATAAACAAGCTTTATTGAAAGAGCATGAAGAAGATGCAACGAATACAGAACTGCCCAGAGAACCTACCACCCCTAAACAATAAAATCATCTAAAAAACCTAACAAGACAAACAAATCTGGATCAAACTTCCTTTCCATCCAACTATACAAAACGGAAAGAAGATGACTCTCGAGCCACAAAACACTATTGACGAACCTCTTGAAAAGTTCGCCTTTTATGCTCTAACCAAACTAACCACATCAAACAAAGGGGCACCATAGACCATACATGCCGCCACCGCCGACCAACCCGAGCTCCACGCCAACTCCACATCATATCCACCACCCGCCATGGTTGAACCCAAACAATCTCAAAAAGAGAACACATAAGTCCCCACAACCGGCTAGCCACAGAACAGTGCAAAAACAAATGGTCAACAGACTCAGCATCCATGTAACACATGCGACGCTAATTCACTAGAAAAAGACCACGCTGCACCAAATTATCAATCGTAAGATTCCGTCCTAATGCTGCCGTCCACATGAAGAATACCACCTTAGAGGGAACTCCCGACAACCAAATACTTTTCCAAGGAAAATCCCTCCTCACCTCCCCCCACTAAACACCGGTAAAAGGATAAAACAGAGAAACGCCCTTTAGTCCTCACCACATTCGACCCCAAAGCATCTTCCCCCACCCCAGTCACACCCAATCCATACAAATAATTCCATTGCTGCAGCAATTGATCAAACTCCCAGTCTTGGTGTAATGCCCCAAATTTCTAGCCCAAATGATAATACAACAATCATGACTCTTTCAAGAAAAACCGAATATAAATCTCCAAACTTACATTACATGATACAATAGTTCTTCATGTAACAATATATTAATCCAACAACAAGTAGATAAACAAAAAAATACCCCTAAGGGTTTACAAGTTTCCAAGGCTTGAGCCTGGTTACACAAAACGGTTATTTAAACTCACACAAACACAGCCCTTAGTTTACACACAGAGTCACAACAAAATGAGAGAATTGTACTCCCAACACACATACTTCCATGCCCCTAGTTGGATGGGATCACCACATCTTTTCCTGCACAAAAATCTCGTAGGGTAAGCATAAAGCCCAGTAAGAAATTCTTAACAAAGTATATACATTTTATACAAGTCTCAAGAGATGAAATGCACATGCCATGCTATGCCCTTTTTGAAGATAAATCACATTTTCATCTTTTGAAAACCGTCATGCTCAATGATATTATGCAATTTCAATTTTTCAAAACTTAACAATTTATTTCAAGGGCGGTAAATACGACTCTGGTAATCACTAGGTCGGTGTTTGCAAGTAGACTATACAAGTACTACCAAATTTTTATTTTTACCGGTATTAACCGGAAGGCTCGACACCTATCCGCGCGGGTTTTCAGTCTTTTACCCCGGACTCTCAAGCCAACTTATTCAATATCATCTACACCACCTATCAAGACTTACCAACGTATTTATCCCAAAATCATTCTATGAAAACTTGTTTCTCAACATTCTTTTCTCAATACAAGTTTTCAAATCAACTTTCAATGTTTAATGAAATCAAATGAATTGATATGCCAATTTCACAAGATGAATATAAATACTTTATTTACAATTCATCATCCAAGGAATAACACAATTCCCTCTTCTCAAGTATCCTCGACAATTAGTTATTTTAAGACTATTTCAACGTTTTGAACAATAATTTCCAAAATGAACAACAATTCTCATATTCCTTGAAATTCATCATTTATATAAATATAAACAAGAAATTTTCTAAACATTCATTTATTTTGACACACAAAATAAATATAACAATATCATTCATGGATTTTCAGTCTCCTTTAAAAAAAAATCCCAAATTCTAGGTTTTCTCACCAAAACTATACAACTCAAAATCTTTTGAAAGAAAACTTTCCAAAATCATCTTTTCTTCAATCAATGAAGATCAAAACCCATAAGATCATTTTAAAAGAACAAGAGACAAACCCACTTTCAAAATCGCTCAACTTCTTGAATCAACAATCAATTTTCAAAGCTATCGAAAGATGATTTCGAAAATCAGATAGATCTTGCAAAAATATATATATAACTCTAAGAAAATCCCTACCTCAAGTTTTGAAGAAGAAATGAGATGAAACCCCCAAAATCAACGGTGTCGAAACTCGATCTTCACCGCACACAACGAAACCCTCGAGAAGTTAACCAACTTTGATGAAGAACTTATGGTAGAACTCTAATGGATCTTAAGAAATCAAGGTTTTGATCCAATTTGGCATAAGAAATGTAAAGAGAAGAGAGAGGAAAGGGTTTTTAAAGAGAGAGATATCCGAAAGTGATTTGAAATATCAGATTCACGAACTGATATAACATGGTCCACTCGAGCGTGGAAAGCCCCGCTCGAGCATCAAATACACTTTCTTAGTACTTTTGCGGATAGGTTAAACTTCTGGAACCAAATATTCTCCGCTTGAGCGCATAAACGGCCGCTCGAGCGGACAAGCAACTTCTAATGCATTTTGCATTTTTGCTTCGGGGGCGCTGCCCCTCAACCTTGCCAGGGCGCTGCTCTAGGACTCGCCAAGGGGCGTTTCCCCCTGGACCCCCGCGAGCTGATCGAGCAGCTCAATCCCCGCCAGGGCGCTGCCCTTGGACCCACCAAGGGGCTCTGCCCCCTGGACCCCCGCGAGTTGACCGGGCAGCTCGATTCCCGACATACTCAGCGAAGTAGCAAAATTGGGATTGCTACACTTGGCGCAAATGAATGTCCCAAACCACCACACCCTCACCCCCCAAATAAGATTGCTACCATAGCGTCTTGATCCCCTACAATTTCGAAAATTAGCGGGAAACGATCCGCTAACGCAACTCCACCACACCACTTATCCTTCCAGAAACGCACTTTCCGTCCATTACCCACCCGGAAATCCACCCTTGCCCAAAACTACACCCACCCCAACTCAATCCCT